ATATATTTTATTGAGGGCCATCAACTATGACCTATCAATGATATTTTATATCTATTTATTACTTTTTACAAGGGTACAATTATTATAAAATAGGACCATTTATAATATAATATTGTACACACAGTATACTAACTCACTCAGTATCCATATACCAGTTCTTCTATAACTGGAGTGAACTGAGTCAGTTTACAATTTAAAAGACTGCTGCTACTATTTGATACATAGTATCTATTTACAAGACTGTTATCAATTGGACAATTTATTTCCTTTTCTTCTTCTTTTTTTTTTTTTTTTGTTATTTATTGGATATTACTGTGAATGATCTGTTGCAAAAAATATATATACTTTTTATGATATATTTTTTATGAAATTTTAAATAAGTAATGAATTATTACTAGTCTTACCACTATTCTAAAGAGATTTAAAGGTATATCACGTTAACCATTCCTGGATTTTTTATTAGATTTTTATCTGATATATTTTTTGTTTTACTTTATAAGCCTTGACCCGCCCTTCGGAGCTCAGTACGCGGCGTGCCCTCGAAGGGCGAACATGGATTTATTTATTTTTGCGCTCGTTTTTTTTTTTTAAAGTGCGACGGTTATGATGGATTTTTATTTGGCCTTTTTGGGGGCCGAAGAAAGAAGATTTTAGAAAAAAAGAAGACGTCAAATGGTAAGTTTAATTTTTTTTTTTTTTTACAGGTTTGTTATTTCCCCCCCCCTCCTCACTATTTTTAGGGTGAGGGGGGTAGGTAGGGGATAGGTTTTTTTTGGGTGGGGGTGACTAGGGGCTTGGGACCCCTAGTCACCTTGATTGGGGGTGGTGTGTGTTTCATTTAGGGCCCCCACCCACCGCTCAGGGGTGGGGGCCAGGGGGGGAGGACAGTAGGTCCCCCCCCCCTTATTGTTTTATTAGGGCCCCACCCCTGCACGGTGGGTGGGGGCCGGGGGAAGTTCCCCCCCATATCTTTACTTAGGGCCCCCACCCACCGCTCAGGGGTTGGGGCCGGGGGGGGGAGGACAGTAGGTCCCCCCTTATTTTATTAGGGCCCCACCCACCGCTCAGGGGTGGGGGAGGAGGACAGTAGGTCCCCCCCTTATTGTTTTATTAGGGCCCCCACCCACCGCGCAGGGGTGGGAGCCGGGGGGGAGGACAGTAGGTCGTCCCCCCCATTATCTTCATGGCCCCCACCCGCCGCTCAGGGGTGGGGGAGGGGGGGGGAGGACAGTAGGTCCCCCCTTATTTTATTAGGGCCCCACCCACCGCTCAGGGGTGGGGGAGGAGGACAGTAGGTCCCCCCCTTATTGTTTTATTAGGGCCCCCACCCACCGCGCAGGGGTGGGAGCCGGGGGGGAGGACAGTAGGTCGTCCCCCCCATTATCTTCATGGCCCCCACCCGCCGCTCAGGGGTGGGGGAGGGGGGGGGAGGACAGTAGGTCCCCCCTTATTTTATTAGGGCCCCACCCACCGCTCAGGGGTGGGGGAGGAGGACAGTAGGTCCCCCCCTTATTGTTTTATTAGGGCCCCCACCCACCGCGCAGGGGTGGGGGCCAGGGGGGAGGACAGAAGTTCCCCCCCATATCTTTATTTAGGGCCCCCACCCACCGCTCAGGGGTGGGGGCTAGGGGGGAGGACAGTAGGTCCCCCCCAATTATTGTTTTATTAGGGCCCCCACCCACCGCTCATGGGTGGGGGCCGGGGGGGAAGACAGTAGGTCGTCCCCCCCCATATTCTTCATGGCCCCCACCCGCCGCTCAGGGGTGGGGGAGGACAATAGGTCCGCCCCCCCTTATTGTAATTTTTTTTCAACAGTGAGCAGCCACAGGCTGCTCACTGTTTAGTAGACATGCCCCTACTCGCGGTATAGCGAGTAGGGGCATTTGGGAGATTTTAACCTCCCTTGTGCTATTATGGGGGTCATATTGACACCCATAGAGTGAGAGGGGGACCTGGGGGGCTTATGAAGTGGTGGGGAGCACTGCTCCCTGCCGCTTCTATAGTTACATATTACAAGGAGGGAGCTGCGTGCCGGTAGTTCCCTCCTTGTAATAAACTGAACGAACAAACTAACACTGATACATTGTGTTAGTTTGTTCATTTGACATTTCTATTCATTCATTCGTCTGTCTGATGGATGAATGAATGAATAGATGAAATTCCCGTTCGCATGTCCAGGTGTTTCACTGGGCATGTGCGGGAATCTCACAGTCTGTCTAGTGTGGGCAGATGACGTGTCCCACAGGGACTTCATCTACCCACACAAAGATGGCGGCGCCCTGAATATAGATTGGGGCAGAAAATAAGGATTAAAAAATAGGTAATGTGGGGGGCTTAGGGGCATTTGGGGGTGACTAGGGAGTCAATTGGATGTAGTGGAGGCGGGAGGGGGGTTAAAAAAAAAAACGGGATTCGGCATGACAGTGCCGCTTTAATTGTGCACTCTGGAATGCCCGCTCCATCTGCAGTAATTTAAAATCAACAACCATACACGACTTTTTCATCTCAAACTCGCTCACACTGCTTGCACTTACAGAGACCTGGCTGTCCCCCTCTGATAGCGCTACTCCTGCCTCTTTATGTTTTGGTGGGCTACAATTCTCTCAGACTCACACTCCCAGACTCAACTGTAAAGGAGGCGGCGTAGGCATCCTTCTCTCCCCTCAATGTACCTTTCAACCAATCATAACTCCCCCTGCCCTATCCTTTTTTTGAAGTTCACACTGTCCGCCTACTTAAATCCACTCCTTTAAGAATTGCTATAATCTACCGCCCCCTTGGTTATCCTAGACTATTCATTGAGCACTTTTCTTCCTGGCTTCCCCACTTCCTCTCATCTTGCACTCCTTCCCTTATACTTGAGTATTTCAATATCACAATAAATAAACCCAATTGCACTGATGCCTCTCGTCTGCTCTCTGTAACCTCCTCCTTTGGCCTTACGCAATGGTCCAATCTAGCAACCCATACAGTGGGAAACACTCTTGATCTTGCCTTCACCAACCTCTGTACTGCCTCTAATCTCTCCAATATTCCTTTTCCTCTATCTGACCACCATCTGCTGACTTTTGACACTAGCATACCTAAGACCCAATTGACAACACCGTCTGAACCTCACTCTCACAAAAACCTCCAATGTCTTGACCCAGAGCATTTCCTTCACTAATCTCCAAACTCTCCTTTTACCTATCTCAAACCTCACCTGTCCTTGTTTTGCAACCTCCTTCTACAATTCCACCCTCTCCTCTCAACTAAACATCATGGCACCTTTTACATTTGAACGCCGCAGGCACCCCAACAACAACCCTGGCACACCAAGCTCACTCGATACCTCCAAAAATGCTCCAGAACTGCTGAATGCTGTTGGAGAAAGCCTCACTGTGCATCGGACTTTCTCCACTATAAATTTATGCTGAGCTCATACAGGTTGGCTCTTTCCTCTGCAAAAGTTACTTCAATACCCTCATAACCACACTCTCCCGCGAACCCAAACGACTATTTCACACATTTAACTCTCTTCTTCGCCCTGCTGTTCCTCCTCCACCTACTAACTTGACCGCCTCAGACTTTGCAACTCACTTCACTGACAAGATCTCTACAATCAGAGAAGAGATCTCTCATTTTTCTTCTTCCCCTTACATCACTCCCTCTGCTGTTCTATGTTCATTCGCAACCGCTACATTGGAAGAGGTTTCTGCTCTGCTCCAGTCCTCCCACCCCACCACCTGCTACTTAGATCCAATTCCCTCACATCTCATCCGTACTCTGTCTTCTTCTCTTTCTCCACCTCTCACTAAAATTCTCAATCTCTCTCTCCTCTGGTATATTTCCATTGCCCTTCAAACATGCAACTGTAACCCCAATTCTAAAGAAGCCCAATCTTAACCCTAACTCCCCATCCAACTATCGTCCTATCTTGCTACTGCCTTTTGCATCCAAGATCCTTGAAAAAATGATGTATGCAAGATTGACAGACTTCGAGTCCAACTCTCTACTAGACCCGCTTCAGTCTGGTTTCCGCGCTGAGCACTCTGTGGAAACGGCACTGACCAAAGTATCCAATGATCTACTCGCTGCAAAATCTCGTGGTCACTACTCTATCCTAATTCTCCTTGACCTGTCTGCTGATCATCAACAGCTTCTTCTAATCCTCCGCAATATCGGTCTACAAGATATTGCTCTCTCCTGGTGCTCCTCCAACCTCTCCCAGCACTCTTTCAGTGTTTCTTTCTCTGGCTCTGCTTCTTCTCCCCAACTCCTCTCTGTAGGTGTTCCCCAAGGTTCAGTCCTTGGTCCCCTACTGTTCTCCATCTATACTGCCTCCCTTGGTAAACTGATTAGCTCCTTTGGCTTCCAATATCATTTCTATGCAGATGACATGCAAATCTACCTGTCCTCTCCTGATCTCTCCCCGTCCCTCTTGACTAGTGTCTCTGACTGCCTCTCTGCTGTTTCTAACTGCATGGCTGCCCACTTCTTTAAACTAAACTTGACCAAAACTGAAATTCTGGTCTTTCCTCCCTCAAATGTTGTTACTCCTGTGTCTGTCTCCCTCCAAGTCAACGGAGCTACCATGAGCTCCACCACGCATGCTCGCTGCCTAGGTGTTCTCTTTGACTCCGACCTCTCCTTCAAGCCTCATGTTCAATCACCAAATCCTGTCATTTCCATCTCAAAAATATTGCGCGCATCCGCCCCTACTCAACGCCAAATGCGACTAAGGTGGTCCATTCCACTGTCCTTTCTCGCCTTGACTACTGTTATCCGCTTCTCATTGGTCTTACGTGCTCCCAACTAGCGCCGTTACAGTCCATAATGAATGCGGCGGCGAGGCTCATCTTCCTGTCCGCCCGCACCTCCCATGCCTTTCCCTTCTGTTAGTCCCTACATTGGCTTCCTATAAAATATAGAGCTCAATTTAAAATTCTGGTTCTTGCTTTCAAATCGCTACATAATGCTGCTCCCACCTATCTATCCTCCCTTATACACAAGTATGTCCCGTCTAGGCCCTTACGATCTGCTGAAGACTTACGTCTATCTTCTGTCCGTACTCCCACCACTGATGCTCACCTTCAAGATTTCTCGAGGGCTGCACTGTTCCTGTGGAACTCGTTTCTCACCTCCGTTAGATGCTCACCCAGTCTCCACTCCTTCAAAAAATCGTTAAAAACCCACTTCTTAAAAGCGTTTCAATTAAACTGTTAATACCTCTTGACTTATTCCTCTTCTGCAACTGTCACTAGTCTAATACTACCCTTACCTTTTTGTGTCATTTTACCCCACTCCCTCTGCATGTAAGCTCATTGAGCAGGGCCCTCAACCACTCTGTTCCTGTGTGTCCAACTTGTCTGGTTACAACTACATGTCTGTTCGTCCACCCATTGTAAAGCGCTGCGGAATTTGACGGCGCTCTATAAATATCATAATAATAATAATAATAATAATATCAAGGCACTTTAAAAAACTAAACAACAAAACATACAAAATTTCAAGATTCTGCAGTGGAAGTGTAACCAAAACAAAAGCCAAGATAATTATGTTAGCCTCATAATTTCAATAGAGCTGATTTTGTAATTTAGCACTTCCATCAATTCCATTTACAGTATTGTGAGCATGTATTTGTGACTCAAATATATTAAGGTAAGCAGTAAGGGAGCCTGTTGGTATAGATGGGGATTTTTATAACATGTGCATGCCATGTAGCAGAGAGAGGGCACTTCCTTGCACCATAACCTATTCAAAAAGCATATTGTAAATAGCACTGATTTGATTTCATATTTGCTGTTATGACATGCTAAAAAATGTGCAAATCAAAATAGAATTATAAAATGATTTGCTTGCATCCGTTTGTTATCAACTGAGAGAATTAACATGTAAAGGAATGTCTACTATGATTTTTGAAATATTTTCTCTCTTCCTGCTATAACAAATACTAATATAGCAAAATGCAAATGAAGCAAAGTGACCTAAAGTTGGACAGGGCATCCAAACATTTTGAGGATCTACTATAAAGAACCATCAGATATGAATCTATGCTAGATGCCTATACATTTACTCACCCAAAATACATACAAGCAGATATTGCATTGTTTAGGTTTCATGTTATATCATGACATGAAAATAAACCATTTATACATGAATTTGCATATCTTGTCTAAACTTTTAGCAGTTGGCAATACTTCATTATTCCTTGTTATTAGTTATTAATACCACAAATGATTTTCAATCTCCACTTCCTGACCTGGAATAAGATGTTATCTTTTACAACAAAAATAACTTGACATTTAGGAATTTGGTAACTTGTCTCATTTAGAGCAATTAATGTCACGGCACCATGGGGAACTTTTATTACTATATGTATGGTCAAATATCAGTGCATAATATGACAATTCACAAGACAAATCCCTCTCCTATGTACTGTGAATGGAAACCATTACTGACCTGCTGTTGAGTTATAAAAGTCCTGCAATCTTCCTGGTCTTTTCTCCAGTTCCTCATACTCCAGAGCCTGTAGGATCATTTCACATTGATCTAATTCTTTCACAAACGTGGCTTCAGCACTGCACTGATGCTCGTATTCCTGAACATATAAACAACAGGGTTATATTTACAAAGACGTTTCTGTGATATTTACATAGTTATTTCTTTGACAGTTAAGATTGTATTATTACTATTAAAAAAAAAAAAACTTAATATAATTATTACTAGATCGCAAAAATACCAAAATTACATTGAGGTCAGGCAGAGACAGATATGACTCAAAATCTGTCATATTGAAAACTTTTTTCATTTTCAGTGTCACAGGTTAGAGCAGTATATAGATATATTCCATATTCCACAGAAATAATTCCTTATAGGTCAACATTTCAACAATATCATGCTTAATAAAGTCAGGGATATCGTCAAAAGGAATATTTCCACGGGGAAAGAAGAAAGTAGAACATTCTGATCTCAAGATGTTGTTTAACTGGTCTGATAGGACTAGAGTCTGCGCATTCTTGGACTTAAAGAGACACTTCAGGCACCATAACAACTTAATCTGAACGGTTTCTAGAGCAGTGTTCCCCAACCCAATCGCTATGGACCACCAACAGTCCAGGATTTATGCATTTCCCTGTTTTATTCCAGTGGAGGTACTGATAAAATCCTGGACTGTTTGTGGTCCATGAGGACTGGGTTGGGGAACACTAGTCTAGAGGACCTGAATACCAACTTACCTTACGGGGTTAATCATTTAACAGACACAAAATCTGGTGGCAACCATCCACCTCCTCTTCGTGCTCCAATGTTAAAACCTTTCCCACTGTTCCAATGATAGGCTGATAGCATCAGCTAATAATGCTCTCAAACTATAAACTGGCCGGCCACTGAGAGAAATGCTTTAGAAAGGAACGCAATGAGGAGATGGGTGGATCTAGAGTCTCTTGACAGGAGCAGACCTACCCCAATACCACATGTGGGTACCCAGGGAAAATAGGCCAATCCTACGAGCAACCTGCCCAGCGATCCTAAACTCCCTTCGAATATGGGACACCTCAGCTCACAAATACAAACTAGCGTCATCCCCATCGCCACTAACCCCACTGCTGAGACACAGAGCTTTCCCGCCTGGACTAGCGGCTAGGGACTTTACAAACTTAGAAAGGGTGGGATTGCAGAGGATTTGACATATGTTTGAGAACAACACAATAGTCACATTCGACAACCTGAAACAGATAGCCAACCTCACTCCGTCTGACTTTTTTAGATACATACAACTCAAAGATTATGTGAAACACCCACATATACAAAAAGCAGCTACAGGGCCAATGTCTTTCTTTAAGAAATACATTTGTTCAGAAACAGAAGAATGGGGCACATTAACCTACACAAAAAAACTGGGAAAAAGACCTGGGGGAGGAGCTGGAAGGCATAGAGTGGCGGGAAATATAGGAAGCGAATATCTTTTTGTCCATATGTGTGTCTCTCAAAGAACAGTCATATAAAATGATGTTCTGGTGGTATACCACCCCAGTTAAACTGTGTCAAATGAAAAAGACACCAACTGACGAATGCTGCAGAGGATGCGGCCTCAGAGGCACGTACCTCCATACGTGGTGGAAATGCCCCGGGGTGCAAACTTTCTGGAAGGAGATACGTGATATACTATCTCGGATCTTCAATAGAACACCGGACTTAAACCCGTGGACATACCTGTTGAATACCCCCCTAGAGGACTGGAAGAAAAGGGAGTAAAAACTGATCCACAAGGTAATGTTAGCAGCTAGGAGAGCATTAGCCCAATGGTGGCTAAAGGTAGATATGCCTTCAGTACTCACTAACATAAAAGGTCTACTTCATGAATAGCCTGACAACTCGGGTAAGGGGAACCATGGATTAACAGCAACCTGGCAGACTGAGGTAGCCAGATAGACAAAAGCATTCAGCAGAACAGACAAGGTGGAAACCGAATAGCTTCCATTTCCCTCCACCCCACTTCTCTGGGGTGGAACCCAGTAAGGGAACTATACAGACTAGGAACGCACAGCAGTATACCGAGAGACGCCACACCCTACCGACCTGATGACTTCTCTATATCTCTTTCTTTCTAGTTCTTTTCTATGCTTCGGTTCTATCCTTCCTTCCCCTGGAGGGGACTAGGAGATAAAGCCCGTAAAAAACGCATACGCTAAGGCCCAAAGACAATCCAGGGTCCTAATATACAGGATGGGTAGCACAGTCCCAGTGGGGAAACAAATAGCTACCTACAACAATGTAAGCGACATCGTAACACACGGTTAACCTGTTTTGGGTTTTATGTTATTGATTAATACCAAAAATGAGATGTGTCTTTACAACCTGATCAGCTGAAATGTAAAAGATTGCTAAGAGGAAAATGGAATGTAACACAGATAACCTTATAGAAATGTACACCACATGTAATGTACATTGTATACTGTGCATATGACAAGACGATCACACAAAGTATTAAAAAAAAAAAAAAAGGGACGCAATGGACAGCCAGTCATAGGCTAAAAGTGTTAGCTAATGCACTCAGCCTATCACTAGATAACCAGGCAAAGACTTTAGCATTGGTGCAAGAAAAGTAAGAGGATGGTCACAATCAAGAGGACTTTGGTTTTAAACTGTTCAAAAATGGTTTAACACCATAAAGTAAGATGGTATCCAGGGAATTCTTCAGACACCATAATGACTTCACCGAGAGGATATCATCATGATGCTTGCTAAAGTGCTTCATGGATGATTAGTATCCTAGTTTAACCCCAGTTTATAAACATGCATCTTTCTATGTGAAATCTGCACTTTTATAAATAAGCTATGGAGCACCTTTGAGCCTCCCTAAGCTAATGGAAGTGACAGGCATGCTTTACTTGAGCGCAGTTGCCTCCTCCCCCACAGCCATCAGACCAGTTCGCCCAGCTCCTCCAGACCTCAGACAAGATGTGCACACATGCACAAGCACACGCAACGGTGCGGGGCCTGTAGAAGAGCTCCAATTCAATGAAAAGCCTCTGATTATTTCCTCGTGAATATATTCTTAACAGTGAATTACTTTTCCCCCCATTTGAGCAGTGGAGTGTCCATTTAACTCCTTAGTGACCAGACCATTTTTCAATTGTCTTACCGTTAAGGACCAGGGCTATTTTTACATTTCTGCAATGTTTGTGTTTAGCTGTAATTTTCCTCTTACTCATTTACAGTACCCACACATATTATATACTTTTTTTCTCGCCATTAAATGATCTTTCTAAAGATACCATTATTTTCATCATATCATATAATTTACTATAAATGTTTTTAATAAAATATGGAAAAAAACAAAACACTTTTTCTAACTCTGACCCCCAAAATCTGTTACACATCTACAACACCAAAAACCACCTGTGATAAATAGTTTCTAAATTTTGTCCTAAGTTTATAAATACCCAATGTTAACATGTTCTTAGTTTTTTTTGGAAAGTTATAGAGCTATAAGTACAAGTAGCACTTTGCTATTTCCAAACAATATTTTTTCCAAAAATTGTAACACTGATATCTGTCAGGAATACCCCTTCACTTGTATATATATTATTTTTTTTAAAGAAGACAACCTAAGGTATTGAACGTTGGGTATTTTGACTCTTTTCATGCAACCATTTTACCACCAATCTATGCCAAATTTAGAAAAAAAAAAATAGGTGATTTTTTTGACACACATAGCAATTTAAGAACACGTGTACTGATAACTTTAAGGGTTACTGCCAAAGAGCACTCCAATGTGTATTCAGCAACATTTCCTGAGTACAGTGATACCACCCATGTACAGGTGTGTCAGGTTCTCTGTGGGCTAAAAACCTTATTTGGAGGTTACGCATTCCTGTTTTCCAAATTGGAATTTTCACAGCTGGTCATCATGCACACACATCCTATTAGGGACAAGCCGGCCAATGTAATTTACCCCCCATCAAACCATATGTTTTTTTAAAAGTAGACACCCTGGATAGGCAACCTTCGGCACTCCAGATGTTTTGGACAACATCCCCCATAATGCTCGGACACCCATAGTGCTGGCAAAGCATCATGGGAGGTGTAGTCCAAAGCATCTGAAGTGCCAACGGTTGCCTATGCCTGCCCTAGGCTATTTCAAATTGTGGTATTTTAACACTTTCCAAGCATTAATTCTACCACCAGTCTTTGTCAAACTTTTGGGTAGTCGTTATTTTTGTGTTATTTTTTACACACATTCTACTTTAGGCATGAATGCTCTTAGGTCCTGTTAGGTGTTACTGCCAAAGAACACCCAATATTTGTTCAGCAACATCTCCTGAGTACAGTGATTCCACATATGCATAGGTTTGTTGGGTTGGGTTGTTTGGGGAGTGAAATGCCAAACTTCTGACATGTGTTTTTCAAATTTGACATATCTTCTTTCATATCTTCAGAGCCTGTTTTGGTTATTGCAAGAAAACACTCCAAGTTGTTTTCTGCAAGGCCTCCTGAGTACACCCATGCCCCCCATACACAGGGTAAACGTAACCAAAATACAAAAACACTGAAGACCAATGTTAAAGAAAAAATTTATTTATTTTTACTAAAAATGGACCAGTGTGTGGTATCTTTTGAAGCAATCCCCAATGCAGAGTCCAGGCTGCTCAGGGCAATCAGGACAGTAATATACGGTATCTTTTATCTGCCCCCTCTTAAAACAGACTCCGCATCTTTTTTGGGGATTCTGCTTTGCCGCAGTAAGGGGGGGATTTTAAAAATAAATTGTGTAGCCCCTACTCTGTCTCTCCCATCACCGCCCGTTGAGCAGGTGCATCACGGTACAAAATCCTCAAAATGATCTGGAGCTGAAACTGTAAAAAAAACCTCTGTTGCATTCCAGGGTTTGCTTTTCTGAACAACAAAAAAGCGTTGTGGGTTGCAATCTGCATTAAGTAGATTGCAACCTTTTTGTACCAGGCCCTTGTCTTCTGTATAATTATAATTAGGTAGGGCTGCAGCAGCTGATCTGCCAGATCAACCCCACCCATATGCCGGTTATAGGCTTTGATGCACACTGGCTTCCTTGTGCTCTCAGCTCTGCCACACACACAGTCCTCTCAGTGTGGATGGTAGTAAGAAGGTACACATCCTTCTTGTCTCTGTACTTAACTGCCAACAGCTCCTCTTGGCGCAGAGCTGAGGTCTCTCCCCTTCATAGATTGGTGCGTGCAAGTTGTCCTGGGAAACCTGCGCAGTTCTTTTTTTATTGTACCGCAAGCTACTGTATCAAAACAATACAGTAGCTTGAACAGTAGCTTGAAGGGACACTTGTATAAAAAATGTCTGTATACAAGTGGTACCCTTTGTTCATCAGTGGTAATATCAGGTCCCAGACAATCTTGCCACTGGTTCCCATATGTTCTGGGCAACCTGGAGGGTCAAGGTGGGTATCCTTTCCCTCATACACCCGGAAGACCTGAGTATACCCAGTCTCGCTATTACAGAGTTTATACACCTTTACACCAAATCTGGAGCGCTTGGAAGGAATATACTGCTTGAATCCCAGCCTTACCTTATACTTCATCAGGGATTCATCCACGCATATATTCCTTCCAGGTGTATAAACCTCTGCAAACCTGGCAGCAAAGTGGGTCCACCTCAACATACACTGGGAGTAAATAGGGGTAGAGCAGATGGGGCTACTGCTCCAGTAGGAGCAGATCGAGGGCTTCTTTATGATGCCCATCAGCATAGTCAATGCCCAGAATCTTTTTAATTCTGGCACATCTATGGGGGCCCACTGCTGTTTTGCCAAAAAAGACTCAGGCTTTGCAGCACAGAACTGATGGGCATATAAATGCGTTTGGGCTTAACACCTCCATAAACTGCTGAGGGCTAAATCCTGCGACATCCACATTGAAGCCAGGAGTTGCAGTGAAGGGTGGGATATCAAATGCGTATGGGCGAAACACCTTCATAAACGGCTGAGGGCTAAATCCTGCGACATCCACATTGATGCCAGGAGTTGCAGTGAAGGATGGGATATCTGCCTCTGGCAATGAGGCACTACCCACTCCTCAGCAGTACTGCCAGCTGGAGCAGCATGTCTCCTTCTGGCAGGGGGACTAGCAGCCACAGATACATCATAACTACATACATAACTGGCAGCAGACACTGTATCTAGTGAGGATGTATCTGAGCACTTGGCAGGGTCAAAATCAGGGTCGGAGTCAGACATAGACGTCTCACCAAGAAAAAAAAAAAAAGAACCCCTACAAAAATGCAAAGACAGGCTGCAAATTGCGAAGGCACCCGCTAAGAGTTCCACGCAGTTGATGTGCAAGGTCCCTTCTAGCTCGGACCATCTGCCACCGGTGGAAACGTTGCCACAGCGTGCTCCCCCAACGTGTAAGCTGACGTCGGACTCTATCACGTCTGGTATGGATCCAAATATTGCGCGCCCGTTCCAAGCCTCCATGTGGGCCAACCACCACACCAGTTTGTCTCTGGATTCGTTGTCCAGCTGTATCCTGGAGTCATACGAATAACCTGAACGGAGGTGCGAACCTTTCAGTCGTTGGAGGGCCCAGTAGTGCAACGGTCCTGGAAAGATCGCCTGAATGCAAGCCGCGAGTAGACCGATAATCCTCGCCAATTGTCTGACTGACAAGTCCGATACCCGAAGGGCCCTCCGAAGCTCTTTTTGAATGGCTTTCATCTTGCATTCTGGGAGGAACAGGAATTGTTGGATGGAATCCACTTTGAACCCCAAGAACTCTGACTGAGCGGGGGTCAAGATTGACTTGTCCCAGTTGATCATGAACCCCAAGTTCTGCAGCAGGTTGACCGTCCAGTCCACATGTACTTGCAGCTGGTCTCTGGACTGGGACATGATGAGAATGTTGTCCCGGTAAATAATGAGGCGTACGCCACGCGTACGGAGGAATGTCACCACCAGTCTCATGATCTTGGTGAAGCACCAAGGAGCTGATGATAGACCGAACGGTAGACATGTAAAACGCCACCGTCTCCCGTGCCAGGTGAAATGGAGGTAGTCTGTGTTCCATCGCGATGGGGAACGTGAAATATGCGTCCTTCAGATCTAGCTTGGCCATCCAATCCGATGCACAGAGGAGGTCTCTGAGTCAATGTATACCCTCCATCTGAAAATGCTGGTACCGGAGGAACGCGTTGAGGGGTCGGAGATTTATCACCGGATGTACACCACCCCCTTTCTTTGGTACCAGGAAGAGGTTGCTCATAAAGCTTAAGTGGCAACTCTTCTATTGCGCCTTTTGACAACATCTCCCTGATTTCCGCGGAAATCAGCTCCTCCTGTTCCGAGGGAAGGGACAGATCTCTGGGGACAGACAATTGGACAGGCAGAGATAAAAACTCGAGGTGATAACCCCGTACTGACTAACACCCAAACATCCGAGGTCACAGCTGCCCACCCCTGGCAGAATAAGGCCAACCTTCCCGCCACCCGTACTTGAGCGAGAAGGGAAGAATGGGTACTCACCATAAGGACGTCTGCCCGAAGTGGATCCCAGGTCTTTTATGAAGGTATCACCAAATAACATCCCATCGTTGGATGAACTCGATTCCGCCACGGCAGCAGCCAATTTGGGGTCGATTTTCAGCAAAAATCGCTTTACGTCTTCCTGCTGACATTCCCCAGAAAACAAATAGCCCACTGGACCCATCCTATGGCCACATCGACATCCAGGACTGAGTCGCCAGCTCTAGTGGCATCCAGCAGCTCATACAGTTTCGACAAAGGGCCCAGGGTATCCAAAATTTTGTCCTGGCATCCCCTCAGGGAATAATCCAGGCCCTTTTTAGGCTTCCAGCCCGACTTGTTCAAAAACTGAGCGATCTGGGGGTCAATCTCAGGGGTCTTGCAGGCTGAGCCCGGCATGGAAGGCCTGGGGCACTCAGCACGTAATTTATTGCAGCCTTCCTTAGAAAGGGGGGTGTGCATGCGTCTTGCAACATATTGGGCGATATGGCCTGGGGGTTCCCACTCGGCTGACCGGGGGTGACGCAGGACATCTGGGTCGAACAGGGGGTTGCCCTGCGGATCCAACAGTGCTGCACCATCCCCAGTGGGGCCAGGTAGAAGACCTCGTGTAGTAGTAAAGGTCCCAGAAGGGGTAACACCCGTATGGGGTAAATCCTCACCCGACTCGTAAGAGGCGTAATCTAGCACGTCTGAGTCAGCTTCGCACTCCGGTAGGTATCCGACCCTTCCTCGTGGGCCCCAGCCTGTTTCCATAGTCTAGCCTTTTTAGCCCGGCCAGGGGCTCTTTTGCATGTAGGAGGAGCGCTATCTGTGACCGCCTCAGGCCTGTCTATCATGGCAGGTAAAACCTGTCTGCAAAACCGAGCATCGATCAGATCGAGGCCACAGGGAGCAGAGAGACCAGCCACAAGTAAGCTCCGCCCAGAAAATGGCCGCCCCACATGGGAGCCGGGCAGAGCCTGCTTGCGGCCAGAGAGCAGGCTGGGGAATGGGTGCGTACACAGCGCCCGCACAAGAGCGAGGATGGGCCGCGGTCGATAGCGAGCCGCGGGAAAGAAGCGCCCGCGGATCACCCACAGAAGGGGGCAGACGCCACAGTGAGGCAAGGAGACAGTCTCCCAGGTGGGAGAACCGCAGGCCCAAAGGGGATCCCCACTAGGCACACCAAGTGCAAACACAACAGGAATACATATAATAAACAGCAATGTACAAGTAATAAACACAATGCAAATGCAGTGTACAATTATAAAACACACAGCAAGATACTGAAATATCAAGAAAAAATTAAAATCACATGAGGAGCAAAAATATACTTAGCTGGTCTGAGGGAGCAGCAAAGAAAGAGGGGATTGTGGGAGACACAGGCCTTTTATAGACACTTCCTCTGTAATGTGATTGGTTGCCTGTGTGCCTATACAGTTTTTTTCTTTCATTTTGATAATATTTATATTCCTCTATCTTTGCTGCTGAGGGAATAAAGAAAGGAGTTATGCATAATACTCGCCTCCGTGTCTTTAATAAAATTATTTTCTGTTGCATGATAAACAATCATACTTTACTTAGTGAGCAAACCATCACAGATTTTACAAGACCTTTAGATATTTGCTGTTGACAATTAGATATATTTTTGTGTGCTCTATAAATTTGTATACCTTTTTGGTGAAACCAGGTCATTACTTTCCTTCAGATGCTAAATACTAATCTGGTTAGATTTGGTGCTCTTTCCATCTGCCTACTTTCCTTAAATATTTAATTATCCAAAATCAAATCATCTATCCATGCAATCTTGCAGCCAATGAGATGATGGCATCACTGTTCAAACCACCAAAAGGCATGAAATAATTGTGGCTGTCTAATTCTTGCCCTGGGATTCATGTTTGCTGCATGTGATTCTATTTTAATCCATCCACAGATTCCTGTATTGGTCTGCACCGTTTGAGAGTATGCCCGCACTGAGAACTTGTTTTATTTCTGTTATCAGTTCTTATTTCCTTTTTCGTTTGTGCGCTCCTGCATCAGACAGTTCGGATTGCATTTATATGCCACAAGACTGAAACTAGCACTCACGTGCATGTAAAAACAGAATCATACTTTGCATCTATATACAAAATGTTATAATGTCTTTCTCTGTATTACATAAAAAAACAAAAACACATTGAAGGGCACTAGTATAAACCATCTGTGTGCACAAGGAGGCTGTCATTCTGAATACCGGAGGACAGTGCAACAGCCGTTCAAGACAGACTGCAATGCATTTTGTGAACTCTATCCAGCTGGATTCAATTAATAACGGTATCTTCAATTAGCAGTGATTCACATACTAGCATTGTTATGCTATATAAAATGGTAATGTAAAGTAATTTCTTAGATAACAAGCATGACCAACTTAGGAAAAGATGCAAAGCCAGTGATTTTTGTTTAACATTGTATTAACTATCCACAGACTTCAGGTGGGGTTTTCAACCACAATTTTTTCAGTAGAGAAAACCACTAACCCATGGGTTGTCAACCTGGTCCATATCGCCCACTAGTGGGCGTTTCAGGATTCCAGGTGGGCGGTAGGGATTTCCTCATTTTGAGAGATTGGGTGGGCGTGCAGGTGCGAGCCAGCGGTACCCCTGCGACCGGGAACCGCCATCACCATTTGTGGCCCAGGCCAGCACGGCAAACCGCCGGGGGCCGCCGTCCAAGGGGTCCATCGGGTGGCCCATGCTGCCTGGGCCACCCAATGGATGTGGATTGTAAGGGAGCCCGGTCAACGCTGGGCGCTTTAACAGCACGACCGGATCACAGAGCAAGGAGGAAGTGACTGCCAGCTAACACACAGACCGTGCAGGAGGAAGCAGAGGGAGTCAGAGTGGGAACTCTGACTCCCATCCACCTGAGCCACCACTGGACCCCAGGGAATGTCACCCTCCTGCACCTAAAAGGTAGGAAACAGGAGGGTGACTAAAATATTTTGTGTGTGTTTGTTTGTGTGTATGTGTCTTTGTATGTATGTCTTGTGTGTGTGTGTCTGTATATATGTGTGTATATGTATGTATGTCTTATATGTGTGTCTTTGTATGTATGTCTTATGTGTGTGTCTTTGTATGTATGTCTTATGTGTGTGTCTTTGTATGTGTGTCTTTGTATGTATGTCTTATGTGTGTGTCTTTGTATGTATGTCTTATGTGTGTGTCTTTGTATGTATGTCTTATGTGTGTGTCTGCATGTATGTGTGCCTGTCTGTTTGTATGTATGTCTTGTGTGTGTGTGTATATATGTGTGTGCCTGTCTGTTATAGTGGGCTATAGTAAGTAACAGCAAGTGGGCTACCTAGCTCAGCCTTCCTACTGGGCATTGCTATAAGGAAGGTTAACAAATAGAAAAAAAGGAAAATAAAAGGTGGGGAGGGGAATTGAGGAGGGGACCTGACGCACAGATGAGAAATCATATTATGTGCAAACAAAGAAGTCGCCTGAATATCACCGAAATAGGAGACCTTCGTTTGTTCCTTACGAAAATCAAGCCAGATATCAAATATTTAGTCTCAGAGCATCAGCCTCAAGGATCTCATTAATCACTAGTAAAGGTAAATTCAATTTACTTTATTGTTTTCTCATTAAACTTTATAAAGTTAAAAACATTATAAACATGCATAAAGTAGAAATAAAAAGATAAATGTACATACATTTATTTTTTTGTTTTAAAACACCCTCCTTTCTAAAAAAAATCCACACTTGCGCGAAAACTGGTGGGCGGTAAGGAAATGTTTCCATCAAGAAAGATGCATTAGTGGGCGGTAAGTAGAAAAAGGTTGACTACCACTGCACTAACCAAAGCAATATTTACTATGTTAATCATATGAAAAGAAAGTTACAATCTGAGTTTAACACTTTGGAATGACTCAGCACTGTGGTGTTCTGAGAGAACAACTTTTGCTTCACTTTTATGACCCCGAAATAGCACTAACCAATATATATGGATCTACAGAACAGAATATCTCTAGACTATAACAAGCATGTATGTCAATGCACGTGACAAAAGTAATCTGGACAGAAACTGATGTCAAAAACAGAAAAATACAGAATAAAAAAATAAATAAATGTAGCTAAAATCAAAAGCAACCAGGGGGTGGAGCTTGGCAGCCAAGCCGAACAAACGTGTGCCTAGAGAGCTCCTACAGTATCTGCCACATAAAGAGGAGCTAACACCAGACCCCAAACTTGAAATCACCCCAAACTGCACCCCACGCATGGGAAGTGAGCCGATGACTCAGGGGATTCCTTACTTGATGCTACAAGTTACTGGAAGCCGGCATCACATCATGCGGCCTAAGGGCTCACAAGCCTGGGAGAGGCGGCCGCTCTTCTCGCTCCATAAGCAACGCTGCTGTCAGGCTCCTTCCCCCTCCCCCCCTTGGATTGGTGGGGGGTTATCCCAGTTCCCACTGAGGTGCTGACCCACTCACATGTCCTGGAGCTGGCAGAACTCGTGGAGCGGTCTACTTGCATACAGCATGACAAGATTGCCGCTGATGGGAAGCCTGCTGCTTCCACTCTGTGGGTCACACTGGAAGAACGGATATCCCAAGCCTTTGAGAGACTGTGGGTACAACTCTGATACAGGATCCAGTGACGTGCAGTGCGATCAGGAGGTACCCCAGCAGTTCAACCTGATTTCGCCTAAACTGACACCAAGCAGTTGCCCGTTGGGCACAGTACTGATGCGACGCTGAAAATGGTGGCGAAGAGGCAGATGCCTCGACAGACACTGTGGAAACAAAGGATCGGTCCTGCCATGGACCACTGCCTTCCCAGGCCAATTTATTTTCTGCTTTGTTGCCTCAGTGGCTACAGCTCTCCAGCTCTTTGTGAGCAGTCGCCAATGACGCTTTTGACGTTTTTCTACACTATCTTCATATGATATTGGTACCACTTGTGTTTCCTCTAAGTCTGATTACTCACAAGGCAGCGCATTTCTGCCAAGCTTTGTAGATATCTACTTATCTCTAAAGCATCTATTACACCTACTCTCTACATATCTCGATTATCTTGTGACAGTATAATTTGTTTTATGCTTAGATAAGAGTTGCTTAACATGTTTACATTTTGTTTTAGAAAAAAGGGCCTGCATTTTTCAGAGATAAAGTTGTCCAGGAGACTATAGTGTCCCTTTAAATAAGAAACAGTTTGGCAACATTAAAAAAAATAAAAAAATAAAATAAAAAATAAAAATACAGCAACCAGTACCACAATCACTCTCAGTTAGGAACAATACACAGACATGCATTGAAGCATGTGAAGCACAGGTTTACCTAGGCTTCTTTACATTACCTTTCTAAAAGACTGAAGATGAAAGAACAGAAATGCACAAACTAAGCGACAATGACAAAGGATCTTGTAAAACCAAGAGGGGTTGCATTATTATTATTATTATTATATTTTGTAACTTGAATTTAACAGGAGTTATATTCACATCAGAAAATTATAATTTTAATATAGATGGTATCAGTATTTTTAAAATTCTACCACAAAGTAAATGCCTCCTAGTGTAATCATCAGTCTCAACCAATCTTGACAGTGGCTTAGAGCCTTACCAAATCATTCCCTTAAGTCAGGGCTGCTTGGGAGGTATGAGATAACAATTTGGTTTGACAGATGGCTGTTGCTTAGAAGGTGGATGTGGGCTTTTGTATATACGAGAAGCCAGACATTTGTTTGACAAGAAAATAAATAATGAATAAATCTATTCAAGGTTCTTGGCTCTGGAATTCTTACTTAAAGCGGCACTGTCCTGGCCGAATCCTGTTTTGTTTTTTTTTACACCCCTCCCGACTCCACTACATCTAATTGACCACACCCCCAAATTTTTAAACTTTATTTTTTGCCCCGACCTAGGTGCCAATATCTTTGTGCAAGTAGATGAGGTCCCTGTTGGAAACGTCATCTGCCCACACTATATGGCGCTGTGAAATTCCCGCACACGCCCAGTTAAACATTTGGGCATGCAAACGGGAATTTCATCCATTCATTTGTCAGAAAGACCCCCATAATAGCATAATGGAGACTGAAATCTCCCGAATGCCCCTACTCGCTATGCTGCGAGTAGGGGCATGTCTTCTAAACAGTGAGCAGCCGGTTTAAGAGTCAAATTGCAGGGTGTGGGAAGGCTTTATAAGCCTTTCCTTGCCCTGCGGAGCTCAGTCTGCGCCGTGCCCTCGCCGGGTGAAGATGGATTCATTTTTTAGCGTCTGTTTTTTTCTTTCTTTGCGCTCTGGTTTATTTTATTTTTTACAAGTTCGACAGGTATTATGGGTTTTTTTGGGGCTGAAAAATGAAGATTTTAGAAAAAAGAAGACATCAAATGGTAAGTTAAATTTTTTTTTTAAATTTTTTTTTTTTTTACAGGTACTTAGTTCTTTTATTTCCCCCATTATTTTTTAGGGTGAGGGGGGTAGGTAGGGGTTTAATAATTGTTTTATTTGGGTGGGGGGCCAAATAAAAAAATGTCTATGTGACAGGACGTTCGGAAAAAGTGAAGGGAAACATCGCGGGAACACGGAGGAAAGGTTAGAATTGTGGGAAAATTTCTCTGACCACCGGAAATGAAGCACACTTTGCTCCACCGCTGGTCAGAGATGGTCAGGCGTAGGAAACCTCCAAAAGACAAATAGCCCCTACTTTGTCTTATGTTTTAAAGAAAACTAGAGCAGACAGGAAGAAATGAAAAACAGATCCTGAGAGAGGGAGAGAAGAGGAATCGATTAAAGAAAGGTAAGTTCGGCATGACAGTGCCGCTTTAACTGATAATGTTAAATGACATCATTTTTAACCACTTCAATACCAGGATTGAGCATAAATGTTTCTTTTCATGTATTTTGCAGTATGAAATCTAGTCCATACATCCTCACTAAGCCGGATTTATACTTTAACAATGATTACTACCATTTGGAAGAATGAATTTCTCGGCCAGAAGCCAAAATATACTAATTTAATGCCTGCAAGTTTGCTGAATATTTAATCTCACCCCTCCTTCTGAACAGTAAAATAATTTTCTATGGGTCTTATCATTCCTACATATTGATAAAGATTGCTATAGAAATTTTAAATATATCTTATTTTAGGAAAATCTGATTTAACTAAAAAGAATGTCTGCAATTTAGCATTAAATAAAGTCTTTTGCCAATGTTAGTAATCTATACTATCAGTAATGCATGCAGGGTCTTTACAAATACCTATAAGAAAGGTAATCAACCATTTTTATTTAACTATTTTTTACCATACCTACTGCGTTTCACTTTGTGTGAAATATTGCAAGATAAAGGACACTGTATATTGTGTAAAGCTTTTCATTTCCCAAATATTATTTTATAAAGGCTAAACAAATAAGTGAAAAATAAAAACGGAGTACATTTAACCCCTTAAGGACTGAGCCAAATGTACACGTTGTGATCAAAACAAAACAAAGAAAACCTGGCATTTGCGGTATGTGTCTGTTCAACCGTAATTCACCTCTTTCATATTAAGTGCACACACACTTATTATATATCATTTTATTCAGGGGAAACGGGGCTTTCATATACCATCAAATATTTAGCTATGAAACATAACTTAATATGAATACAATATAAAAAATAGGAGAAAATAAGACTATTTTTACGTAACATTTTAACTATGAATATCATCATTTTGTTTGCTTTTACTGCACTAAAATACACCTATGTCTCACGTGTAAAACAGTACCCCATATGTACAGATTTTATGGTGGTTTGGGAAGTTACAGGGTCAAATATAGAATGTTACATTTTTCAGTTTTTTCACACTTAAATTTCGCCAGATTGGTTACGTTGCCTTTGAGACTGTATGGTAGCCCAGGAATGAGAATTACCCCCATGATGGCATACCATTTGCAATAGCAGACAACCCAAGGTATTGCAAATGGGGTATGTCCAGTCTGTCAGGGTTTTATGGTATCTTGGAAAGTTACAGGGTTAAATATAGTGCTAGCAAATTAAATTCCCTGGACTTTTGGTCTGGGTTGTCAGGCAGGTCCTGCAAATTGTAATTAATAAAATTACCTAATTATGTAAAATTATTACATAAATATATGCATACGCATGTGTGTATAAAATTATACACACACCCTGTTCCAAATTTTATGCAAATGATATTTTTCTCATTTACCTAAATAATTGCTGTAAATAACAGTCAGCATAATTCTCATCAACTATTAAGAGTACAATTCAAATTTTATTGAACAAACCTCCTAATGATAACAGTATTTCTTTTAAACATAAAAAAACTGTTCCAAATTATTACGCACAGTAAGTTTCAGAACACTTTATAGGTTGTAAAGAACTGAAAATTGTCATGTGTTGTGTTTGCAGCATATTTACAGAAAATCAAAAGCTATTTCAATCAAACTTATAACATTTTAACAGGTCACTTTACATTTTAACATGGGACCCCTTATTTGATAGCAGCTTCACAAGTCTTGCATCCATTGAAGATGTCAGAATAGCCTCCCAGAGCTGCTGTTTGGATGTAAACTGCCTCCCACCCTCATGGATCTTATGCTTGAGGATGCTCCATAGGTTCTCAATAGGATTGAGGTCAAGGGAGGTTGGAGGCCACACCATGACTTTCTCTCCTTTTATCCCCATAGCAGTCAGTGATGCAGCATTATTCTTTGCAGCATGAGATGGTGCATTGCCATGCATGAAGATGATTTTATTATGGAAAGCATAGTTCTTCCTTCTGTACCAGGGAAGAAAATGGTCAATCAGAAACTCCACATACTTTGCAGAGGTCATCTTTACACCAAAGGGGCCGACCAGCTCTCTTCCCATGATTTTGGACCAAAACATGACTCCACCGGACGTCGCAGCCTTGTTGGAACAGGGTGGCCATCCATCAACCATCCACTACTCCATCCATCTGGACCATCCAGGGTTGCACGGCACTCATCAGTGAACAGGACTGTTTGAAAATTAGTCTTCATGTATTTTTCTGCCCAATGTAGCCGTTTCTGCTTGTGTGCATTGGTTAGTGGTGGCCGAATAGAAGGTTTATGCACAGTTGCAAGACTCTGGAGGACTCTACACCTTGATGTCCGTAGGACTCCAGAGGCACCAGCAGCTACAAATATCTGTTTGCTGCGATGTAATGGTATTTTAGCAGCTGCTCTGTTGATCCGATGCATGCATCTGGCAGAAATCTTCCTCAATGTGCCTTTATCTGCACGAACCCGTCTGTGCTCTGAATCAGCCACAAGTCTCTTAATAGTGCGATGATCATGCTAAAGTTTTTGTGAAATATCTAATGTTTTCATACCTCGTCCAAGGCACTGAACTATTTCACTCTTTTCGGCAGCAGAGAAATTCTTTTTCTTCCCCATATTGCATGAAAATGGTGCTCTGCTTAATAATGTGGAACACCCTCCTTTAGTGGTTTTTCCTTAAATTGGGCTCACCTGGCAATCTAATTATCACAGGTGTCCGAGATTGTTTTCAGTGATCAAAAGAGCCCTGAGACACAATGCCATCCATGAATTAACCCCTTAAGACCGGAGGGCGTACTATTACGCCCTATTCTAAGCGGCTCTAACCGCCGCCGGGCGTAATAGTACGCCCTCCGGTCTTTCGGTACTTACCCGGTCGCCGGCGATCCCACGCTGGTGATCGCGGTGGGGGGGACTCCCAGGGAACCCCCCGTGGCACGTCCATCCTCCTCGAAGCCCCCCGGCCGCGTGAGAGTGTGGTCCTTGTGAGGACCCCACAATCACATGGCCGGGGGTAGCTGGCTGCAGCATTGCCAGCAGGGGGACTGCCTGTAATGACAGGTGGTCCCCCTGCTGGCTGAAAATAAAAATTTAATAAATAGTGTAAAAAAAATAATATATACTTAGAATATATACATACATTATATATATATATATATATATATATATATATATATATATATATATATATATATATATACACACATATATATATATATATATATATACACACATACACACACACACACACATATACATACACACACGTACACCGTCTAGGTGTAATTTACTATTTATATATATTTATATATATATTAATATCAAATTACACGTAGACTGATACTGATATATATAAAAAAAATAAAAACGTTATAAAATAAAATTAAAAAAATAATTAAAAAATATATAGATGTGTGTTATTTCGTTCTAACTGTATTGTGAAAATATATATATATATATATCAAAATACACGTAGAACGACATAATATATATATCTACCTATATATAAATAAAAATATTTAAAAAAATTATATAGATTATATATATATATATATATATATATATATATACACACACACACACACACATATTAATTCTACATATATTTATGTAATATTTTTACATAATTAGGTATCTTAATTAATTACAATTAGCAGGACCTGCCTGACAACCCATGCCGAAAGTAAAGGGAATTTAATTTGCTGCACTATATTTAACCCTATAACTTTCCGAGACACCATAAAACCTGTACATGGGGGGTACTGTTCTACTTGGGAGACTTCGCTGAACACAAATATTAGTGTTTCAAAACAGTAAAATGTATTACGATGATATCGCCAGTAAAAGTGACGTTTTTTGCATTTTTCACGCACAAACGGCATTACACGGACAATGTTATTGCTGTGATACTTTTTACTGTTTTGAAACAAATATTTGTGTTCAGCGAAGTCTCCCGAGTACAACAGTACCCCTCATGTACAGGTTTTATGGTGTTTTCAAAAGTTACAGCGTCAAATATAAGGCTTGGGTTTCATTTTTTTCACATTAAAATTCACCAGATTGGTTACGTTGCCTTTGAGACCCTATGGTAGCCCAAGAATGAAAATTACCCCTAAGATGGCAAACCATTTGCAATAGTAGACAACCCAAGTTATTGCAAACAGGGTATGTCCAGTCTTTTTTAGTAGCCACTTAGTCACAAACACTGGCCAAAATTGGCGGTTTTTGAATTTTTCACACACAAACAAATACTAATGCTAACATTGGCCAGTGTTTGTGACCAAATGGCTACTGAAAAAGACTGGACATACCCCATTTGCAATACCTTGGGTTGTCTACTATTGCAAATGGTATGCCATTATGGGTGTAAATTTCATTCCCGGGCTACTATACAGTCTCAAAGGCAACGTAACCAATCTGGCGAATTTCAATTTCAAATGTAACGTGCTATATTTGACCCTGTAACTTCCCAAAACGCCATAAAACCTGTACATAGGGGGTACTGTCTTACACGTGAGACTTTACTAAATACAAATATGTGTATTTTATTGCAGTAAAAGCAAACAGTATTATGACATTGACTGTTAAAATGTCATGTAGAACTAAAAAAAAAATCAAAACAAAATAATCGTATTTTCTCCCATTTTTTTCATATTAAATTATGTTTTATAGCTAAATATTTGATATTAAATGAAAGCCCTGTTTCCCCTGAATAAAATGATATATAATAAGGGTGGGTGCATTTACTATGAAAGAGGTGTATTACGGTTGGACAGACATGTAGCGCAAATGCCAGGTTTTGTTTACATTTTATTTTGTTCACAACGTGTACATTTGGCTCCGTCCTTAAGGGGTTAAGGACTGAGCCAAATGTACACCTTGTGGCAATACAGAAGCCAGCTATCCCGGCCATGTGATTGTGAGGTCCTCGCAAGGACCTCACTCTCACATGGCCGGGGGGCACCGGAGGAGGGGGATCTACCGCGGGGGTGCTCCCTGGGAGTCCCCCCCACCGCGATCGCCAGCGTGGGACCGCAGGCAACCGGGTAAGTAAAAAAGACCGGAGGGCATACAATTACGCCCGGCGGCGTTTAGAGCCGCCTAAAATAGGGCGTAATTGTACGCCCTCCGGTCTTAAGTGGTTAAACTGAAAACCAAAATATTTAATCTTTGTGACACTTAAATAGAATGTGTATAATAATTTAGAACAGGGTGTGTATATATATTAAAATACACAGATAGTGTATTTAATTTTAAACGGTTTTAACCTTTTTTTTTTTTTATAAATTTTACAGGCACTCCCACTGCTGGGGATGGCTATGCCATCCATGTGATCGTGAGGTCCTCGCGATCACATAGCCCAGGGGGGCCGGAACGGCAGCAGGACTTCCCCCTGGAATGCCAGGTGAGTCTCCCCACCGCGATCACCAGCGTGGAATTGCCAGCGTGGAATTGCTGGGTAAGTGAATAGGATGGCGGTGACGTGCTATGCCGCCCCCCAGCGTTTAGAGCCGGGTCCCCAAGGACAGCATAGCACGCCCGCCGTCCTTAAGGGGTTAAATTATTACTATTATTTTCAAATACATGGCCGTGTTACGATATGTTTATATGCTAGATATGCATTGTCACGGCAAGGGTGCATAATTTATTACACTATGGAATATTGCTATTTAATATTACTTGTGTAGTGCATCAGTAGTTTGACACTTGGGTAGAGGACAAATGGCAGAGAAAAATTTCTCTTTTGATCAAAAAAGGCTTCTGCAAGGTGTGAAAAGGATTGCCCTTTTGATCTATCAAAGGCCCTGCAAGGTGAGACATTTTACACTTGAGCTGCCTGTATGTCTAGTTTAAACTAACTGACTTTGACCATATGACCTAAAACTCTCAATTGAAAGTTCAATCCTTTGATATGGTAATGGTATTAGTTTAATGAAGACCCTGGTGTTCCAGTATCATACCAAAGAGAAACATTAATACTTACCCACTGCATAATAATTAGACCTAAGTTTTATTATATTTGGAATGGGACAAGCCCAATCTTTTAATTAAGCCTAAATGTGAGTTGAACAACTTAAACAGTGTGCCAGGAATTGTGATGTCCGTCCTATTGGATCGTGGGTGGGGCGTACGACGTGTCTATGGGATGGGAAAATAATAAATTTGTAGATGCGATTATTATTTCTGTGGCCGATACATAAGGGAAGATAGTGCCAAATGTGTCCATTTGGATTGACATTTGTCTTGAACAAACCAATGTTTGTTACACCTTAGGTAGGTACACCTTAACTCCACCCCTGGGCAAGACTTGATAATCCACAGGGTATATATCCAATGATTTGGCCCCCTGGGCAGACGTTTTGCTTTGAAAACTAAGTGAGTAATTAGGACTTCTGTTATTTTATCCTTTTTGTTTTTATCTGTTGTTGGGGTAAATAATTTATCATATTTTTGTATGCACTGTGACTACTTTTTGCTTATAATAAACATTCATTTATTAAGTTCTGCCTTTGTCTTGTTAAGAATCACGTTTCCTGCAGAGACTAATTAGTGTTTTGCAATTACATTGATATTGTGCTAAGTAATATTTAGTGGGTTTTTATTATTGATTTACCTGGGGGACCAAGGCACCCCATTTATAAATTGTCTTGGTGGTGGCAGCGTTAAAATAGTAAAATTTATATTATTATGTTTAAGTGTGGGTGGTGTTAAAGGGGATTTTTTCATTATTTCCAGTCTAGTGCAGACAAATAGTGAACTTTAACCCTTTCACCACCACAACTACATTACGCACACTCTTGGAGTAGGGTGCGTTCGTGACATGCATCCCTTGTGTCAAATATATGTTCAAATCATATAAGCTCATTATTTTGCTCAAAAGGTACTGGTAGTGAAGGTGTTGAAGAAACACTACACTCTTCATAACTTCTCATCTTAATGAAGTTATAATGGTGTATGGAGGTCCTGGGCGCCGACTTACCAAAAGGGGTAAAACTAGTTACACAACTTTCTAATGCAATTTTACCAATGGTAAGCTAGTGATAGGCCGAGAGCTTCAGCTGCCACTCTCAACCTTTCACCACCAGTCTAAGATTTTTTTTCATTGACGCTGGGGACTTGGATGGAAGAACAGAGCAGGTCGTATCTAGGCAATTCAGTCATAAATGGATTTTTAAGAAGCGAAATAAAACAAATATACATAACAAGAAAATATTTAGCTAATAGATACTATTTTAGGCATGTACTTAATTTCATTCTAGGGTCTAGCTAGCAAAACAAGAAAGTTATTTTGACGGTTTCTGGGCTTCTAAGTATTAAAGAAGAGTTAGTCACCTTGGAAACTGACGTGTGCAGAAAGGTAGCAGGCAAGATGTGCTGATTAGTAAGAATAGTGGAAAAGGATCGCTTTTTGTTACACTGACAGTGCTCTTGGCAGGCACAGATAATTAACCACCCAAGCTAAGATCAGCGGTGGGAGTTCAGTCAACTCCTAACAGACTGTCAAGAGAATGCAAATTAATGACATACATGCAAACAGAGAAATGTGGATGAATCTAAAACGTAGAAAACATATAAGGTAACAAACGGAACACAGTTCTCCACTCCTACACATAATTATGCATAGATATGGATTTTTGCAGTTATAACGGTTACCATTGTGGATGCTCAGTGGGGTGTTCTCCTTAGGACCATATAATATGGACTGTTTCACCGTAGCTCCGCTCTGCGTACTCTGAGATAATGTAGATACTGATGATCTCCCAGTTGATAAAATGAACTAGGAAGCATGGCGATTGCTTCTCATAGTAGAACATTGAATTTAAAGGGATTCTCTAGTGCCAGGAAAACAAACCCATTTTCCTGGCACTGTAGAATCCTGGAGTGACCCCCCTGCTTCCTGAACCCCCCCCCCCCCCCCGTTGCTGAAAGGGGTTAAAACCCCTCCAGTCAATTACCTGAATCCAGAACCAATGTCCCTCGGCGCTGGGTCAGGCTCTGCCCATGCTCCTCCCCCGCCGACGGGAGAGACCTAATGCGCATGTGTGGTAATGGCTGCGCGCGCGCATATTACACCTCCCCAAAGGAAAGCATTATTCAATGCTTTCCTATGGGGATTCAGGCGACGCTGGAGGTCCTCATGCATAGCGTGAGGACATCCAGCGTTGTTTAGACGACCAAAAGTAATCTAAGGATCCAGAAGTCCCTCTAGTGGACAGCTACTAGAGGAGGGCTTAACCTTGCAAGGTAATTATTGCAGTTTATAAAAACTGAAATAATTACACTTGTAGGGTTAAGGGTATGGTAGTTGGCACCCAAACCACTTCAATGAGCTGAAGTGGTCTGGGTGCGTAGTGTCCCTTTAATGTTTCTCTTTAGAAACACTAACTTAGGTTTCATGCTGCAGAAAAAAAAAAAAACTATGAGGAAGTGCATCATCCCAGCTGTCTGAATTACCTTTATAGGTCACAAACTACTAAGAGTAAAACAAATTTAAATGTGAGATGAATATAGACTTTGGTATGTTTATCTTAAGCTTCTTACTATATTAATGGTTTAAATAAAGGGTGTAAGGACACCGATGACTGGCACACCAGTAATAAATCCAATAGAAAGACATCAAGGCACTCAGATAGGTATCCCATTAATAGCCATCAAATAAAACAAAAATGTTATATAAATATAAAAAAATTATAAAACAGACATCACAAGCTATTTATTGAAGGTCATTTTATTTTTTTGCATGGCCATTAAAGGAGCACTATAGTGCCAGGAAAACAAACCAGTTTTCCTGGCACTATAGGGTCATTAGGTTCCCCCCTACCCTCAAGGCCCCTTTCCTGCTGGGCTGAATGCCACTTACCTTTCTCTAGCGCCAGGCTCCCTCTGTGCTGGGGAACACTCCTTCTGCCGACGTCAGAACCGAATGCGCATGCGCAGCAAGAGCCGCGCGCGCTTTCAAACAGCCCATATGAAAGCATTACTCGATGCTTTCCTATGGACGTCCAGCGTCTTCTCACTGTGATTTTCACAGTGAGAATTGCGGAAGCGCCTCTAGCAGCTGTCAGTGAGGGTTTCTCTGAAACTGCTATGTTTTCAGCTGCAGGGTTAAAACTAGACCTGAAGTGGTCTGGGTGCCTATAGTGGTCATTTAAAGGACCACTATAGTGCCAGGAAAACATACTCGTTTTCCTGGCACTATAGTGCCCTGAGGGTGCCCCCACCCTCAGGGACCCCCTTCCGCCCAGCTCTGGAAAGGGGAAAGGGGTTTAAACTTACCTTTTTCCAGCGCTGGGCGGAGAGCTCTCCTCCTTCTCTCCTCCTCCGATCCTCCCCACCGGCTGAATGCGCACGCGCGGCAAGAGCTGCGCGCGCATTCAGCCGGTCGCATAGGAAAGCATTTACAATGTTTTCCTATGGACGCTGGCGTGCTCTCACTGTGAAAATCACAGTGAGAAGCACGCAAGCGCCTCTAGTGGCTGTCAATGAGACAGCCACTAGAGGATTAGGGGGAAGGCTTAACCCATTCATAAACATAGCAGTTTCTCTGAAACTGCTATGTTTATTAAAAAATGGGTTGACCCTAGCTGGACCTGGCACCCAGACCACTTCATTAAGCTGAAGTGGTCTGGGTGCCTAGAGTGGTCCTTTAAACTGCCAATCTCTGCTAAACATTTTAGTAAAAACTTTTTTTTTTTTTTTTTTTAAACACCTACTTTTTTTAATGTGTGTTTCATAAAACAGATGTGTGCAACTCCTTTCAAAACTCCATATTGTGTTCAGTCGGCTACATCTTCAGAGTACAACTATCTTGTGAAGCAACAGTGGTATATCAGACACCAGGCCATGATGTCTCTTTTTGAGGCATTACAGCAGTTTGAGTGTTGAAATTACCCCACAATAGCCTACCATTTTTGAAGTAGACACCCAGTATATCTCATATAGTTTTTATTGTGACTGAACATGCTTCAATTTTTCAACAGTTTATGTCAAAGTTTGTGGTAAAAATCTGTATGCATCTTTTACATAGACATTACATTTTTGCTGGCCATTTAGCAAATCTGATATGTGCCAGCAATGGACAGCTGTGATTGGCTGAGACTGTCAGCTGACTGCTTTTAGCCTGTCAGAGCTCCAACTCACGGTATGACAACAAGAATGTGTGTAATCTCTGCCTTAGCTACACATAGAAGGGGGACAGTGCCAGGGCACTCCAGGCAATATAACCAATTCAAAGAGACGAAATGGTTATAGTGACTACAGTGTACCTTTAAAGACAAGCAGCACAAGAAAAAAAAAACAAACGTGTGAAAGGTTCCTTACTTTCCTTAACCAAAATAATCATAAATGACAATATTTATTACAAGTGCAAGACTTATAATACAAAATGGAGTGCTGTGTGGAAAGAAGCATCTTACTAGGGATCGACCGATTATCGGTTTTACCGATATAATCGGCCAATATTCGGTATTTTTGTCAATATCGGTATCAGCCAATTCAGATACCGATATTGCCGATAATATCTCCTAGGACCGCCAGGCTCATTACAAGCCCGGCGGTCCTGGGGAGGGGGGGCGAAGAGCAAGCTCTTACTCACCTCCCAGCAGCTCCTTCAGCTCCCCAGTGTAACTCTCGCGAGACCCGCGGCCGCCAGATTTACACTGGGGAGCTGGAGGAGCTGCTGGGAGGTGAGTAAGCGCTTGCTCTCCACCCCCCCTCACAGCTCAGCCAATACCACTGGACCAGGGACTGTCATACCCCCCTCCCTGGCCAGGCAACAAGCAGGGAAGGGGGCAACAAAAATAATTAAATATTAAAAAAAAAAATTTTTTATAAAAAATGCCCCCTCACACACACACTCCATATACACTACACAAATACACTGTTTATATAACGCAATGTTTGCATAGTGTGTTTATATAATGCACACTACACACACACTGCATTATATACACACACACTATACAAACACACACTACACAAACACACTGTGTATATAATGCAGTGTGTGTAGTGTGTGTATATAATGCAGTGTGTGTGTAGTGTGTGTATATATATAATGCAGTGTGTGTATGTATATAATGCAGTGTGTTTGCATAGTGTGTTTATATAATGCACAATACACAAACACACTGCATTATATACACACTCTGCATTATATAAACACACTACATTAATTATATACACACACACTACACAAACACACACACTTTGCATTTAGTATATACTGCATTCACTTTACGCACACTACCCACACACTACCCAAACACACACTGCATCCACAAACACACACTACACACACACACACTGCATCCACTACACACACACACACTGCATCCACTACACACACACACACACTGCATCCACTACACACACACACACACTGCATCCACTACACACACTGCATCCACTACACACACTGCATCCACTACACACACTGCATCCACTACACACACACACACTGCATCCACTACACAAACACACATTGCATCCACTACACACACTACACAAACACATACAGCTCCCCTTGTCTAAACACACTGCATCCATTACACGTGGCATGTATATTTTGTGCATTTACCTTTAGAAATAGTTTTTATTTTCCAAAATGGTAAATGTACAGAATATCGGCAAATTATATCGGTTATCGGCCTGAAAGTTCACAGAATATCGGTATCGGCTCTAAAAAATCAATATCGGTCGATCCCTACATCTTACCCCCTTAAAGTATGCAGTACAATAGCAAAGTTAAAACAGAAGCATATAAAATATATAAACATAGAGAACAACAAATAGTGCAGATGGTAACAATCCTTGGTAAATGTGAATAGTGGGGTGTAAACACACACACGTAATGGACCACAAAATATAGGCTCACTTAATGCATAGTTGTGCCTTTCCAGATAGAACCTCATCTGTCTTCTATCTGGAGACATGCCCAGAAAAAAAACACAGGAATACCACAATAAGGCAGTATGCCTGACAAGTATTATATCTAATATGAATACAATAAAATATGGACGTTCACCTTATTTAGAGCCTAAAAGTCCTTGGTTCTAAGGTTACGCACCTAGTGTAAATTTGTGTGGTGACACTTCCCCAGGTGTATATCTTGATACTTGTTGTAATAAAGAGCTGGCAACCGTGCTACAGATATTAAGTTTATTATAACTTCAAATACAAATATAAAAACAATAAACATTCACTTAATATAAAGACCAGCTTGTGAAAAATTATCTAAAACGAGTTTCGCTGTGATAGCTTACTCAGTGCTGGACTTTATATTCCACATTTTGGGAAACGCATACCATCTGTGAAAGTAGACAGCACAGGGTATGTCATATAGTATATTTTGTACATCTATGTTAATTTATGGCATTTTATTTTTGTGGGTTTTTTTACATGCACATTGCAGTTTATTCTGTAAAGATGTGTGCTACTGCAATAAAAATCACTAACTGTGCAAAGATATATCTCCTGAGTCCATAACCTGGGGTTTCCTTGTTAACAGCAGGAAAACAGTCCCAGCTGGTAATATGCCGCATGATGGAATTATTCTGCCATGGCTTCTTGAGGTAAGGACATCCATGAAAGATAATTCTATCGTGGGTTATTAAGTGGCTAAGATGAAGTAGTTTTGGTGTTCAGTGTGTCCCTTAACATATTATTCATGGTTTTATAGAACCTGATAATGCTACAAACAATATTTACTTTTTAGTTCTGTTTGTATTGCAGCATTATTTATTCTACGAAGGCAATGTATCATAGTTAATTTTTACTATAAGTTGAAACATTCATCCAAGGTGGGGAGACGTTTCTGAAATTTCTGTACTTCTTTTAAGCTCTCTCTCTCCCTTTTCTATACATTTTTCTATAGATATCCTTCCTTGCTCAAGGGCTTTCATATTTACCTTACCTTACATCCCATTTACTTATTTGTGGCTTTCACGATTTGAGATGTGGTGTCACTCATACACATTGGGATCCTCTACACTTGTATGTATTTCTTTAAATTTATTTTGTGTGAGGTCACACTGTAGTGGTTTCCCCTTTTATGCACTTTTAAAATTCATTTCATTCTTCAATGTTTTGTATTTATTGAAACGTATTCATCCTTTTGAAACACAAGGATTACACTAGAACACAAAAGAAAAAAAACATGCACACGATAGTAAGTCTAACACCTACCTCCCACAGTTCATACACCTCCTTCTTCATTTCCTCTGGTAACAGCTGAGTCAAATGCTTCATGGCTTCCTAAACAAGTAATGATAAAGTTACTTTATTCTTCTGCAATTTCTTTTTGCTTTGTGTTTTTCAAACTCCCTACAACTTTTATTTCCCCAAGAGGGTTTTAATAAATGTAAGAAAGGCAATTGACCAAAACTAACAAAATGTAATACCACACAAATTAAACCAAATAAAATCAGATCTTTTATGACGCCCTCAAATAGCAACTTCTCTGAATGTATGAGAATTAGCCTTGGCAACAACAGCTTGGATTCTGCTCAGGGAGTATTTTCCAAACCAGACTCTTGAAGTAGGAAGGCTCTTCCTACTCACAGCTGAAAAAAGAGGGCCCATCTACTGAAAAAGATTATTGTAGTTTTCTATGTTCGGCAGAACGCCAGGACATAGCTGGGAGGGGGGTAGATATAGGCCAGACAAAACCCCTTCCACAACTCTAGGTATACTGCCATTACATTTATGTTACATAGTTACATAGCTACATAGCTGAAAAGAGACTTGCGTCCATCAAGTTCAGCCTACCTCACATTTGTTTTTTGCTGTTGATCCAAAAGAAGGCAAAAAAACCCAGTTTGAAGCACAATTTTGCAACAAGCTAGGAAAAAAATTCCTTCTTGACCCCAGAATGGCAGTCAGATTTATCCTTGGATCAAGCAGTTATTACCCTACATTGAAAGATTATATCCTTGAATATTCTGTTCTTGCAAGTATGCATCTAGTAGCCGTTTGAACATCTGTATGGACTCTGATAAAACCACTTCTTCAGGCAGAGAATTCCACATCCTGATTGTTCTTACAGTAAAAAAACCTTTCCTTTGCCTTAGACGAAATCTTCTTTCTTCCAGTCTAAACGCATGGCCTCGTGTCCTATGTAAAGTCCGGTTTGTGAATAGATTTCCACACAATGGTTTGTATTGGCCCCGAATATATTTGTATAATGTTATCATATCCCCTCTCAGGCGACGTTTTTCTAAACTAAATAGGTTTAAATTTGTTAACCTGTTAACCTATTATGTTACATAATCTGGGCAAGCACTACATCAACCAGAATTTGTAACATGTTAAGAATAAACCAAAATTGGTGGATTTCTCAAAGCGACTGCAGGACACAGTGTATGATCCAGAAATCTTTATTTTCTTATTTTTCTAAATACAAAAACAAGGCAGTGGGGGCAATACATAGAGAGAGAGAGAGAGAGAAAAAAAAAAACACCTGTAGAGATTCCAAAAAAATTGTGCCCTTATGTCACTTACTCATAGACAATTGGTTCTATAGATCTATAAGCAAGTGCCATAAGGAAACAAAACGTATTAGGAGACTCCAGAGGTTGTTGGATGTTTTTTGGTACCGTGTCTCACCCTTGATTGCTAATTCTTTTGTATAAAGAGATCCAGATTTCCTGAATCAAATACTATGACCCGAGGAATCTAGGTTATTGCCTAAGTTAAACTAATTTTGGTGTTTCACCCATTTTGTTATTTCTTTCAATATTTTATTTATTAATGTTTTGAATTTCAGTAATCATCAAATCTACGCTAAAATGATTAAAGGGACACTATAGGGCAGGGGTAGGCAACCTACGGCACTAGTGCCATACACGGCACTCAAGGTGTCTTTGCACGGCACTCAAGGCTGCTAGAGCCAAACAGGCTCTGGCCTATCAGGAGTGCGAGTGAAACCTCAGATATCTGCTAATATGAAAAGCTGTTGAAGGACAATCCTCAATTTATGCATTGCAGCATGTAGAGGGGATCTCAGATCACTTCGACCCAGCACTTGTGAATGGGAATCCACACTGCAATAGAGCACCCCACAGCAGCTGTTGCAGCTCCTGTCCTTTAGCTGTACCTGGACAGCCTGGTCTCCACTGGAACACAAGGAAGCCACCCACACTGCTAGATATACAGAGATATGCAGAATAACCCTCCCCTCATATAAATACGAACAGCCCACACACAAACACAAAACGCAATCCGCACAAACTCAACACCACTGACAATCCACATGCATGCACACAACCCCACATGCAGCCTCTCTCATGCAATACCACAAACAGCCCTTCACATACACACACTATCAAACATACAATGTGACATATCCATCCACACACACACAATTCTACAAGCAGCCCCCATTCATAGGTTTATTTACACAATGCCACAAACTACTCATGAACATATACAATATAATAGCTCATACATGCACAAATACAATGATACAGAACAACTGCAGTATAAATAACAAGCACAATACGGCAACACACACACCTCAATTTAAAAAAAAATAGGACCGGCACGCTATGGGCCATAACGATCTTATTTCGGCACAGTGCTGCTAAAAGGTTGCCTACCCCTGCTATATGGTCAGGAACACAAACATGTATTTCTGACTCTATAGTATTAAAACCACCATGTCCCCCTAAATATAGCAAAATCTAACTTTTATTTTAGTCTGCTGCTGCGGCATCTGCCCCTGATCTGCCTGCTTGGCTGACATAATCAGAAGTAGTGTTCTGAGCCAATCACAATGCTTTCACATAGGATAGCATTGGATTAGCTGAGACTGTCAAGGAGGCAAAGCCAGCACACGTCAAACACAGCCCTGGCCAAGCAACATCTCCTCATTGAATAAATTAGAAAAGTTCAGTGTCTCCATGCAGAGGGTGGAGACACTCAATGTCAGTGCTGCACACTGAGTAGGTGCCCCAGGAAACACCTCTAGTAGTCATCTGAGGAGTAGCCAGTGGAGGTGTCTCTAGGCTGTAATGTAAATACTGCCTTTTCTCTGAAAAGACAGTGTTTACTGCAAAAAGCCTAAAGGAAATGATTATATTCACAAGAATAAATACAATAAGTTGTAGTTGTACCACTCTGGTAGGAACAGATGATCATATTCATAAGATCACAGGCTGCTGCTCACAATAAGTTGTTTATGGTAACAGCACTCATACCTAGTGGATAAAGGAACCCTGTAATATAATCTGTATAAGATAGTGTTATTGAGTGTGTTGAAATTTCTTTGATATTCCAACACTATCAAAGAAATACTTGAGACAATTGAGGGACTACTTTGTCTCATGCAAGGGCTGTGCATAAAATACATCTGCCGTCAGGTTCTCTGCCTGCAAAGTTCTCTGCTAGCTCCCCCTTCCTCCCTCCTTGCAGTCCATCCCAGCCTTCCTTTGTTGTAAAGATGTATTATTTTTATTTTATTTTTAAATAGCAGTCCAGCCATGCCTGTTCACTTCCACTTTCTCCAATCACTGGTTCCAAGCGTGTGCATGTGCTCCAAACTTGTGAAAATGGTCCAATCAATGTTTCTATTCGAGAAGCATTTGACCGGACCACGTGGGGAAGCCTGTGACGTTGCAACGGGGTGTGGAGAAGAGCATCAGGAGCTTCTCCCTGGTGATGGATTTCAGGTAAGTTTTAAATAAAACTTAAAAATAGTTGGAGTAATCCTTTAAAGGACCACTCTAGGCACCCAGCTAGGGTTAACCCATTTATTTATTTTTTTATAAACATAGCAGTTTCAGAGAAACTGCTATGTTTGTAAATGGGTTAATCCTTCCTCCAATTCCTCTAGTGGCTGTCTCATTGACAGCCACTAGAGGCGCTTGCGTGATTCTCACTGTGAAAATCACAGTGAGAGCACGCAAGCATCCATAGGAAAGCATTGTAAATGCTTTCCTATGAGACCAGCTAAATGCGCGCGCAACTCTTGCCACGCATGCGCATTCAGCTGAATGGGAGGAGAAGAGGAGGATCAGAGGAGGAGAGCTCCCCGCCCAGCGCTGGAGAAAGGTACGTTTTAACCCCTTTCCTCTCCCCAGAGCCGGGCGGGAGGGGGTCCCTGAGGTGGGGGCACCCTCAGGGCACTATAGTGCCAGGAAAACGAGAACGTTTTCCTGGCACTATAGTGGTCCTTTAACTTATATGAGATGAATTGGTCCCTAAGCCAGTAGTGTTTTTGAAGGATGAGTAAATAAGTTAATGTCAAGCAACTAATTGGCATCCCTGACATAAAAAGTTAAACACAACTGTCCTAAATGGAGTATCTCTTTAAGCTCGACTGTACTTCAAATTTTATTTGATAAACTCTGCCACTTTCTTTTTCCCATTAATGTTTTCAAAGGACTAGTTTCCTATGAATCATACACTGCCCAAATATAAAACCATAAATTAAGACCCCCCCAAAAAAACATCTCTCCATCAAATAGTGGTATTATCTTGGGAGATGACCACCTGTTCTAATGGCAAGTAACAGTAATTGCACTCAATCCATAAGCCGATTGGGTACACAGGACTTAAACGTGCCCTTAAGCATGGGAGTGCCTGGATCTTTTTGCACACCTTTTCTAATGTGTCTAACCAGTATACTACAACAACCACTGTCAAAAATGACCTGTCCTCACTACATCTCAAATCATTACTACATAGGAGATATGAATGAATTTACTAATTCAGGGCTTGACAAATGTTTTTGGGAATCTGGGAGCCAGTTTTGTTTTTTTAAAGGGACACTATAGTCACCAGAACCACTACAGCTTAATGTAGTGGTTCTGGTGCCTATAGCCTGTCCCTGTAGCCTTTTCAATGTAAACACTGCATTTTCAGAGAAAAAGCAGTGTTTACATTGCTGCCTACTAAGACATCTAGTGGCTGTCACTCAGACTACCACTAGATAGTCCTGTGTCAGTGCTCTGCATGGAGGTGCTGAATGTTACCCATACAGAACATGCGCAATATCCTCCCAATGCTTTCCTGGAAAGCATTGGCTTAGCTGAAATCATAAAGATTGATGAACTTGGCAATAGAGGCGGGACAAGCCACGGCAAAACCTGCACAGCGTGGGGAAAAAAGGTGAGTAAAAACACCAAATCACGTGATTGGAGGGGGGTAGGTACCTAAACAGACACACTCTCTGACAGACACACACTAACAGAGACATACACACAAACTGACAGACATACACACACTTTCTCAAACACTCACAAATTTACATTTTTTATTTTAATCCACCCAGCCTCCCTACCTTTGGGAGAGCTGAGTGGACTTTCCCTGGGGTCCAGTGGGGCTGCTCTCTCTTACTGTGAGAGGGAGCAGTAATCTACCATGCAGCTACTCTCAACTCCCTGTGATGCCAGGGCTGGAATGACGTCATATTCCCTCTCCGCAGGGGAGCCGCGGGAAGATCACTGCTCCCTCGTACGCTGCCCCAGCCAACCGCCTTGATGCTCCACTGAGCCAGCAGCCTCCATAAAGCCCAGGGAGGTTTACTGAGCGGCAGTCTAAAACGCTCACTAAGCCGGCCCGCCCCCATAAAGCCCAGGGCGGCCAGCTACAATGCTCACAAAGCCAACCATCTCCATAAAGCCCAGGGCGGTCGGCTACAACGCTCACTCAGCCTGCTGCCTCCATAAAGCGCAGGGCGGCCGGCTACAACGCTCACTCAGCCTGCTGCCTCCATAAAGCGCAGGGCGGCCGGCTACAACGCTCACTGAGCCGGCCACCTACATGCTCCCGCGGGTGGATGGCTGGCTCCATTATTTGCCCAGAAGGCCGTTTTAGATAAAAAGCTGACAAATCCCAGGCGCCAGGGCAAACTTTTTAATCGCCATGGCGAACTGGGATTTTGTCGAGCCCTGTAACTAATCAACTATTTCTGCTTTTTCATTGTGTAATGCCATATAACAGCAAGGAATTTGTTTGTAATTTCTAGATAAGAGTAATGTGTGTGTAAATATATTCTATTCCAGGTGTCTCCCCGCAGACCCACCATGTGTCTCATCCTCCCTCCCCTCCCTGTGTCAAAGCCCAGTACCTGTATCAAAGCCCTTTCCCCTCACCTCCCTGAGTCAAAGCCCTGAGTCAAAGCCCTTTCCCTTTCTGCGTCAAATCCCTCTCTCTCGGTGTCAAAGCTTCCCTCCCCCTTCTCCTTGTGGCAAAGCTGCTGATCTGTGGGTAAAGTATCTTTAATTTCCTCTATCCAGACTGACAGGAAGTGTTCTCAGTGAGAACACTTCCTGTCCGTCCGGGTAGAAGAAACTAAAGTTCCTCTACCCAAGGATCGGCAACTACAAGGTCAGCAGGCACAGGAGGGGAGGGGGGAGACTTTGACACAGGGAAGGGAGGGGGACAGACCCTGCAAGAACTGGCAGGCAGGAGGGGAGAACTTTCCTCCTGCCTGTCACCCATTGATTGCACCCAGGCAGTTCTTGCAGCCAATACTGTAAGGCAGGCACGCTCTATTAGAACGTGTCTGCTACTTCAGTTAGCTCAGTGGAGGCGTTTCTATTTTCAGATATAAAAGTGCTAATTTCACAATGAAGTTGGAACTTTTATAAATGAGGATATTAAAGGGATACTCCACATCCATATAGCAATTCAGCAAGTTGAAGTGCTCTATGAGTGTAGAGTACTCCTTTAAGTCATTTCCAGAGGAAAAAAACTAACGTTTTTACAATAAACTTCAGAATATTGTTAAAATGCAAAAGAGTAGGGATAAAAAAAACATTATGTTCAAGCAGAAATCATCATTACTACACTTTGTGCAACGCACACAACACCCACCTTTTCTTGCCTGTGCTTCTCTTCCTTAGAGATGTTGTCAGCAGGAGCTATATCACCCACAATGCACTCTGCCATGTCATGCACTAGAGCAAGTCGTATACATCTGATGGAAAAAGAAAATCTGTCACAACAAACCTGGGTAACTGGCTGCATTCCTTTATACCTTACATTTCTTATTGTTGGTTATAGTTAGGTTTATTCACTTATACCTATATTATTATTACTGTAAGTGTCTTAACATATCACTATAACCATTTCAACTTACTGAAGTAATTATGGTGCAGAGACCCACACCCTGAAGCCTTTCCTTTTAAAAATGTGTCATTGCAGAAATTAAAAATTCGTTTTTATTTTATCTGTAGAGCTTCCTTCCTGTGATATCAGTCAGCTGGCTGAAATACTCTTTGTGGCTGGCAATATTAGTTTTGTGCAGGAAAGAGAAGGAGGGAAAAGGGAGGAAGAGAGGAGCAAGTCACTATGTGGAATTTGTCTCACCAAAGTAAGTGCAAGAACTACCTCTGCTAGACTACAACTTCTAACAGACTCAGTGAGATTCTGGCTGAGGTTGGAGGTAGTTAAAACATGCATCTAAAGTAATGAGAATACTTGATAAACACAATACTTGATAAGCGGATATCAACACTTGAAATGAAGATTTGTCCTCAGTGCTTCTCTCTGTAAAATGGTCAACACTAATAAGTGTTGGCCAAAAAGGGGATGTTTAACTTTAGCTTAATTAAGCAGTTTTGGTATATAGATCATGGCCCCTGCAGTCTCACTGCTCAATTCTCTGCCATTTAGGAGTTAAATTACTTTTGCTTCTGATTATGCAGCCATAGCCACAGATGGCCCCTGGCTGTGAATCACATTGCCAACATGGGGAAAAATTTGTTTAATTTTCATTTAGATCTTACTTCTGTTTCTTCTTGTAACACATTAGCAGAAACACCAAGAACAAAAATGCTTTAAAATTGATTTTGTTTTGCACATTTATCTATATGCGTCATAAATACAAAGAGAGGAAATTCAATAAATATAGTTACCTGTCCTTATTAAGTTTTTTGTCTTCTGTTAGCATAGCCATCACAGCCATCCGGTACATATGATCTGATACACTTTCTGGTTTCTCCACTTTGCGGTATACCCATCCTGTCCTTGGGACTCTCTGTCAGAAAACAACGCAAATAAATGACAAGGTGGCGACCAATGACTGAAGGAAAACATTAAAACAACTTTATGCAAAGCAAACAATTGTTTTGCTTCCAATACCTTATAATTACATAAAGACAGGGACAGTCTATAAATGAGCATACAGGTTCCTTGCAACATAACTACATAAAAAAACTGAAACCATGGTGCTTGGAGTAACAAGTTAAAATCACTGCTCATATTCTACCTCATCTAATGCAAGATGCAACTAAGGCACTCGCTGACACACTTCACGCTTTAATGCAACTCGCATCTCAATAACGGCACTGCCTCACTAAAATCTATTATAAATGCTACTTATCTTCCTCACTCCCATAACTTTCTGAAATTAAAAACACCCTTCAGCAATTCAAATTGACTAACCTTTGAGGTTATCAACAATTTTACTCCCGGTTAGTTCTCCTGATTGTAAAAAGCACAAAGACCGGAATAAGAGTCTCCTGATTAATGGATTCTCTTTCTGATCTTAGAGGGCTGTTTCTGCTTGCAGTGCATTAGAAATAACAGGAACTTTGAAGGAAAGTATTTTTATTTATGTATATATAAATCACAAAATCATTTTTTTCCATTACTTATACACAGGGCCAGACTGGGAAAATAATTCAGCCCAGGCATTTTTTTTTTTTTTTTTAATCGCAGGGGCCAGATAGGGTGTGTTTTGTCATCACCAATGACAAGCATGCCCCATCTCAAAGTGAGCATGTTTGTTCAATGGACCATGCGCAGAGCTCTGCTAGAGAGCTCTAGCATGAGAAAAAGGCAATGTATTTGTTCGGCACAGTGCAAGCAAATTTAATAACATGCTTGCCCTGTGTTTGCTTGAAACTTGTGTCTCCATAAATGGGATACCAGGAGCCAAAAATGCTAAGAAAGAGAATTGTGCATGTGTTTGTAACCTGCTTATGGGATTGCGTGTGTATAGAGTGAGCTGATTGTGGTGTGGTATTGTGTAAATAGGTTGGTTTTAGTCGTGTTGTGTTTGTGGTGTAGTGTAATGTGTGTGTGTGTATAGGGGCATAGTGTATGTAGGCGATGTAGTGTGTGTAGCGGTTGCAGAGAGTATGTGTTTGCTTACAATGAATCTAGTGTGTGCATAGGGAATCCGGATGAGGGGTGTGTGTGTGTGATTCAGAGTTGGTTAAGGGATCTAGTGTTTGTCTGAATTGTAATGTGTTTAAGGGTGAGTGTGTGAGGGGTTCTGTAGTATATATACACATATATGTTTGGAAGTATTGTGTGTGTGTGAGTGGTGCAGTGGGTTGGGGGGTGCTGTATGTATGTGTGAGGGGTGTGCTGTGTGTGAAGGATACTGTGTGTGTGTGCGTGAAAGGAGTGCAGTGAGTGGTGCAGTGTGTGTGTGTGAGGGGTGCAGTGATACAGTGTGGCAATAGCCACTCGCTCAACAATGCTTTTCTATGGAGATGCATTGGATTTGCTGAGACCCTCATAAGTGATGAACTCTACCAGGGAAGAGTGGCAGCCATGGCTAGACTGGCAGATGAGGGGATATAATATATGTTACAATGCCCTTAGCCAGTGGGATTAGCTCAGGAAAGCTAACAGAAACTCCTACTTAAAAGCTTCTGGCTATCCGTCATTAGTTATAAAGGCTAGGAGTGTGTTGCAGTGCCTGGTGGACACCAGGTTAAAAAAAAAAAAAATCAAACCGTACGAAAAACGGTTTAATTATGGACACGGACACCTTAGTTACTTACAATGAGGGAACCTCTTGCACCATAATCACTACCCCAAGCTTGGAGTGTTCCTTTAACATATTTTTTATTAGTTACTTGATGTTATATATTAGCATTGTATAATTGTAACGCTCTGCAGAAAGGTTGCTGCTATATAAATGATAATAATAATTTAACTTTTTAAATAATAGGTGTTGTGATTCAAGTAACATTTTGCCAAAATTCACGCCTCTGAATAATTAAAGGGTATTTCCTAACATCACAACCACTTCACCTATTCGAAGTGGTCATGTTGCCTGGTGTCTATACGTGCAGTGTTTTGTCATGAAATAAACCACGCGTGAGATGTAAAATGGCTGTATTGGTTATGCTGGTTGGAGTAACCCTTTAAAAGGACAACTGTCACCTCAAAATTATTTTGTTAATTTCTTTATTAAGTTTTGAAAGTAAATATAATAAAAAATAAAAATGAAAAACTCATCCCTACTTTTATTACATGGCAGGTTAAAGGACCACTATAGTGCCAGGAAAACATATTCGTTTTCCTGGCACTATAGTGCCCTGAGGGTGCCCCCACCCTCAGGGTCCCCCTCCCGCCTGGCTCTGCGGAGAAGAAGGGGTTAAACACTTACCTTTCTCCAGCGCCGGGCGGGGAGCTGTACTCCTCCTTGCTCGCGACGTCATCGGCTGAATGCGCATGCGCGGCAGGAGCCGCATGCGCATTCAGCCAGTTGCATAGGTAAGCATTTACAATGCTTTCCTATGGACGCTTGTGTGCTCTCACTGTGATTTTCACAGTGAGAAGCACGCAAGCGCCTCTAGCGGCTGTCAATGAGACAGCCACTAGAGGCTCTGGAGGCTGGATTAACCCTCAGTATAAACATAGCAGTTTCTCTGAAACTACTATGTTTATAAAAAAAAAGGGTTAATCCTAGAGGTACCTGGCACCCAGACCACTTCATAAAGCTGAAGTGGTCTGGGTGCCTAGAGTGGTCCTTTAAGCTATATACATACACCTTGGGTCAGACAGTGTGTGAAAACTGACAGTTAGTATCCATTTTCTTCCTTGCTTCACTCTGTGCACAGACGCAGGGCAGGTCATAGAGGCCAACAGGATTATTCACCAGAGTGAGAATTTAGAGGGAATTTCAAATTTAAGGTCAGAGTAGCTGAGCTGAAAACATTGAGTGTTTACCTTTTCAGCTATTCTAACCCTAAATTTGAAATTCACTTTGAATTCTCACCTGCCTGACCTAAGGTGTATGTAAATGGATCCTCTCATACGCTAAAGGAAGGGACAGCCTTTATCTTTTTCAAAATATACTTCATTTAAAAAAAAAAAAATTTAGTGGGGTGACAGTTGTCTTTAAAAACTACTGTGACTCAACTCCTATGCATAACAAGCAAAATATTCCCATTGTATCACTAGGCATGCACTCTATGGCTGACAGTGCTCTGAGTTAGAGAAGTTATAATATATATATATAACCAAGATATTTATCAAAACTCTCCAACTGGGCTTCAGTTTGTGTTCAGTCAGTTGTAAACTCAGCACAGACTGAGAGCTTCTCTGTGAGCATTGAGGAGGGATGGGTAACACAATGGGCTTAAAATCACAGTGAATAATACATTGGCTATCACACAGTGATTATATAAAATGCCAGTTATTATTATTATTATTATTGAGCTCTATCCCCCTGCACTGGAGACACGGGTTACTATTGAGCCCTGTGACTCAAACACAGGGAGAGCCATATATATATATATCTCCCTCTCCCTCCCTCCCTCGCCGGTGGAGCCGGACTGATATGATGTATTAGCTGGCTCGCAGAGGATCGCTTTACCTTGAGCTGCCCTACAAACTTCATAAACTGCAGCAAGCTCTTCCCCGCATTACAACCACTGCCGGCAGCAGCCATAATGGAGGAGGATCGGAAGAAGACAGAGCGTCTAACCCCACCCTTCCACAGCCGTCCTGGCCTATCAGAGGGGGCTTCACAAAACGCTCTCTGAAAGACTCGTGGTGATTGGCTGAGATGGGTAACGTTTGATTGGTTTGTGAATCCGGTTATGGCATTGGCCCATTGCATTGTGGGGCTTGATTTGGATTTTCAAGGGACAGTTATCATAATAGAGATGGCTGCCCTTTGGCTTTTTTTCCCTGTGAAAACTAAGCTGCCATAGAAAGTGAACGGACTGCCATGATTGACTTTAATTTAAAGTGACATTACAGCTGAGCCTCATACTGTCTTATAACGAGTATTTTGTAATGTTTAATATGAGATATAATATATTAATATTGAAATATGAGACACACAAAGGAGATGGGGGGGTATTAAAGGGACACTAGCTTTAGAGATACAGAGATGTATTCCTATCACTAACCATTCCCGCTACACATTCCTCTGCAGCTCTGCTAACAATGATTGCTATTACCTTTACCAAGACACTTGTGGCTCTCATGATTTATCCCAGGGCTAGAACGATTGTGCAGTCAGCCAACAGGTTCAAAGACTGTTACTGGGATACCAAGAAAAAAGACACAGTTCCAAAAGAAACTAACATACAATCCTTTATTTTACTTGGGTGTAGCAAATATGTTCATTACATCAACCTTGCTATGACAAACTTAACCCCTTAAGGACGGCGGGTGTGCTATGCCTTCCTTGGGGACCCAGTGTTCTATCAAATTTACCTACCCCGTTAGAAAACCCTACCCGCGTCACTTCCGGTGACGAAGCCGCACCGGAAGTGACGTTGGGACGGGGGTGTGCGCCACCGCGCAGGCGCACACCACCCAGGTAGGGACTTTGCACAGCGAGTAGTCGACAAAAGGCATAGTGCGCACGCGCGCCAAAGTACTCCCGTCGGAGGTACAGCGCGCGTGCGCACTTGGGGACAGGGAGCGCTTCTCACACACCGCGCATGCGCAGTATAAGGGTAGGGAAATCTGATGGCCATTAAGCCCTGTGAAATCTCCCTACCCCTATACTGCGCATGCGCGGACTCTGATCGTCTGAGTACAGCATTTTCTGGGAACAGGTCAGTCTCTCCCTGCTCCCAACACTCTCAGCCATCCGAGGGGAGGGGGTTCTATATTAGGGGGGGTTCAGTGCATTATATTGGGGAGTGGGGGGTTTTAGTACATTATTATATTGGGGTCTGCACTATATATGGGGGTCTGCACTATATATGGGGGTCTGCGCTCTATAGGGGGGTCTGCACTATATATGGGGGTCTGCGCTGTATAGGGGGGTCTGCGCTGCATGGTGGTCTGCGCTATATAAGGGGGTCTGCGCCGTATGGGGGGGGTCTTCGCTGTATGGGGAGGTCTGCGTAGTATATTGGGGGGTCTGTGAAATGTATTGGGGCAGTGTGTTAGATGGAGGGGCTGTTTGTTACATGTGGGGGGGCAGTGTATTATATTTGGGGGCTGTGCGTTAGATGGTGAGCTGTACAGTACGTGTGGCCTGTGTGTTAGATGTGTACAACCCTAGTTTCACAGAAAAATATTTATTTCCTAGATATCATATGCCAAAGCATGCTTTTTGCTATGAAACCGCAGCCATCTAGTTACTCGCCAGAGAAGGATGAGAAACTGCACCCTAGCGAGAGGGACAGCCCCACATCTGCAACCAAATTCGTCGGTCACCGAATTCAGTAATCTCTGTCTCTTTGTGCATTGTGTATGTATGGTACTCCCAATTCTTATATTTAATCCGGTGTGTCTCCCACAATCTTTGTGTCTGTCTGCTGTATGTATGTGGCACGCAAGTCTGCACGCACTGTGTCTGTTATGCCAGTTACTCTAACCAGTTTATTTCTTTTTGTGTGTGTCACAGCTCTGACAAGCATGTTCTCCTATGGGATACGAAGTACATGAAGAGGAATGAAGAAGCCCATGTTTGATGCTCGTCTCCAGGGTGGAGCATTGAATTTATAACTAATGAAGTGGCATCTGACACCTGACAAGCTGCTCCTGTTTGCACAGCAACTTCAACATTGTGTACTGTGATCATGGCATAGTTCAGAGGTAGGTAACCTTGGGCAGTCCAGATGCTGTGAATTACATGTCCCATAATGCTGGCAAACCATTATGGGAGATGTAGTGCAAAACATCTGGAATACCGAATGCGGATGAATGCAAAGTATGGTGTGTGTGAATGGTCAGTAACAAGGGTTGAAGCCTTGACGTGGCGTTACTGCTCACATGTGTATTCATGTGCCAATTCAACCAATGTGAGTCACTGTAATACTTATAAGGTAACCAAAAGTACTGTGATTGTGGAGAATGAAACGCCTGTATCACCTACACACTGCTTACACTGTGACCGTATCTCCTATACACTGCTGACACTGTGACCGTATCTCCTATACACTGCTCATACTGTGACCGTATCTCCTACACACTGCTGACACTGTTACCGTATCTCCTATACACTGCTGACACTGTTACCGTATCTCCTATACACTGCTGACACTGTGACCGTATCTCCTACACACTGCTCACACTGTGACCGTATCTCCTACACACTGCTCACACTGTGACCGTATCTCCTACACACTGCTCACACTGTGACCGTATCTCCTCAACACTGCTGTCACTGTGACCGTATCTCCTAAACACTGCTGACACTGTGACCGTATCTCCTATACACTGCTTACACTGTGACCCAATCGCCTAAACACTGCTTACACTGTGAATGTTATTTTTTTCAAGTTTGTTTTAGTGTTTGCGGTTTCATTGATTTGTTAACCACTCTCCTCACTCTTCTGTTCTGTGTTTTCTTACATTTGTGGGAAGAACAAGGTGATCCTCTCAATTTTACACTCCTTTACTGATGGTTCCAGTGCCAGAGACAACCCCACCACCATTAACCTCGACCTGCTCAAACAGAAGAGATTACCTTCTTCTATAGAAAACGTCCTTATGGCTGTTTCGGAACACATGGTGCAGACATGATGTAACCTTCATTTTCCAGTGATTAAGACTCGTGGACCGTCCAGGGAAAGAGACCATTATATTATTAAGATACTACCTTCCTAATGCCATACAGCCTTTCTTTACATGTGATCATGTGATTGAACTTTCTCCTTCTTGGATACCACAGTGTGACTTTTCTTAACCAGTTTCCAAATTTGACTTTTATATTTTTTCCACTATACATATAAAGTCTAAAATGCATATTAATTTTGAAGAAATAAAGTATTTTGCTGACACCTTAACATGCGATTTGTGTTACTTAGCTACAAATAATACCATCACTAGCTGCGTTCCATTGTAGTTTATCAGAAACTGCAATATTTAACATTGCAAGATTAAGGGGACATTGGCACTGCACCCAAACCATTTAAACGAGATGATGTAAGCTTTTAAAGAGCAACTTCTTACTATGCTTATTGCTATCTTTTGAAAGTCATCACATTTATAAGCAAAACTATGCATAGGCAGAGTGACACGAGGACCTATATGCACCATAAATTATCATATGTTGTTACAAAGCCATATTTCCTAACAGTCCTGGATTGTTTAGTAGAGTCCCAGTTTGGGTTTGCTCTCCACTGTCCCACAATAATTAACAAGTTAACATTATTACAGACAAATTACTGTACATTTAAAAATTAAGAGTTTTAATTTTTTTTAAAGTGGCAATATAAAAAAGACAAACAATATTTAAATTTCTTATTTAACAAAATTGAAAAAGTATGTTGTCCATTAATTAAATAATAATTGCACATGTGACCTAATATCAGATATTGTTATTGTCACCCCTCCCTTACTGTCACCTCACCTCATCACCCCTTGTCACCAGGGCCGGATTAACATAGGGGCTTTTACATTTTTTTTTTCACACGCTACTCTTAGGGATTCCACCTGACTTTTATTTTATTGGCACAGCCAGTATTTGGGGCTGCCTGGTGGTGCTGGTATTGCAGTGATACTGGCAATACAAATGCTGGTATTTTTCTCAGTATAAACAAGAGATTACTCCGCAATACCAGCACTGGCCAGTAGGGGTCGCTGTGTGTGGAGTCAGGCAGGGATAGGAAGTTCCAGCATATCCCTCCCTGCCTATCTATACTCACTGATCTGCAGGGGTGCAGCTACAGAGAGTCCAGACAGCAACTCCCACCCTGCAGAGACAGCCTACAGCTCAGGGAAGTAAGGGATGGAGGAAAGGCTGCAAGGAGACATACACTGAGACACTAAGGGGACACTGGGAGACATTATGGCAGACACTGAGACACTAAGGGACACTGGGAGACATTATGGCAGACACTAAGGGACACTGGGAGACATTATAGGACCACTCTAGGCACCCAGACCACTTCAGCTTAATGAAGTGGTCTGGGTCACCAAATCCTCTAGGGATTAACCCATTTTTTATAAACATAGCAGTTTCAGAGAAACTGCTATGTTTATCGAATAGTTAAACCTTCCCCTAATCCTCAGTGGCTGTCTCTCATTGACGCCCGGCCGCTAGAAGAGTCCATAGAACTTGTGTAAATGCTTTCTATCGCGGCAATGAGCTGAATGTGCTTGGCGCAGCTCTTACATGGCGTGCACATTCAGCCAGAGAAGGAGGAGAGCTCTCCGCCCAGCGCTGGAAAAAGGTAAGTTTTTAACCCTTTCCCCCTTCCAGAGCCGGGCGGGGTGGGGGCACCCTCAGGGCACTATAGTGCCAGGAAAACGAGTATGTTTTCCTGGCACTATAGTGGTCCTTTATGGCAGACACTGAGACACTAAGGGGCACTAGGAGACATTATGGCAGATACTGAGGTACTAAGGGACACTGGGAGACATGGCAGACACTGGGACACTAAGGGACACTGGGAGATACTATGACACAGACACATGGGGACACAGTATCCCCATGTCTCCCAGCCAGTGTCCCTGGTGTCTCAGTGCCCCCTAGTCTCCCAGTGACCCCTAGTCCCCCAGTGCCCCCAGTCTGCCAGTGTCTTACTGTCCCCATGTCTTCTAGTGCCTCCATGTCTCTCATTGCCTCAAGTGTCACAATGTCCCCATGTCTCCAAGCTAGTGTCTCTAGTGTCTGTGGCCCTGGTGTCTCTGTTCCCATGTCTCCCAGTGCCCCATGTCTCAATGTCCCTATGTCCCCCAGCCAGTGTCTCTAGTGTCTGTATCCCCATGTCTTCAAGTGTCCCCTATTTTCCCATTGTCACCATGTGTCCCAGCCAGAGTCCCCTAGTCTGGAAACTTAAGTGGGATGTATGGGAACAAAACTTGTGTGGACTGGCTAACAATGAATATAATTTAAGGGACACTATAGTAACCAGAACAACTACAGCTTATTGAATTTGTTCTGGTGAGTAGAATCATTACCGTCAGGCTTTTTGCTGTAAACACTGTCTTTTCAGAGAAAATGCATTCTTTACATTACATCCTAGTGATAACTTCACTGGCCACTCCTTAGATGACTGTTAGAGATCCTTCCTGGGTCATGGCTGTCTAAAATGCATCCAAACATTCAGTATCTCCTCCCTCTGCATGCAGACACTGAACTTTCCTTATAGAGATTCATTGATTCAATGTATCTCTATGAGGAGATGCTGATTGACCAGGGCTGTGTTTGAATCATACTGGCTTGGACCCTGATCTGCCTCTTTGTCAGTCTCAGCCAATCCTATGGGGAAGCACTGTGATTGGCTCAGGCCACCACTTCTAATGATGTCAGCAGACTGCTTGTTTTTATGAGTCTAACAGCATGCAGAGTTACAGCTTCAGGCTTGAATATAGATTTTGCTATATTTATGGAGGCATGAGGGGTCCAGGGGGGGCTAGATGGTGGTGTTAACACTATAGGGTCATGAATACATGTTTGTGTTCCTGACCCTATAGTGATCCTTTAAGGTAATGCTGACTTTGGTCTCTCTAACACTGTGGCATGTTCCTTTTCTTCTACACTCACTACATACAGCTTTTCTCTGTCCCAGACTATATACCAGGAGCTTCTGCCTGCTAGTAAGAAGATAAGGAGACAAGTGGACCAGCGAGTGCTAGGGGACAGTCCTTAGAAAGGGTTGAACGAGCGCATCATTAGATGCATTTATGCCAAGCTCAGGGTGCTGTCTGCATAGTATGCCCTTAGTTGGCCAGCTGCATGATTGGCAGGCAGCCTGACATGCATTCATACCAGGCTGGCATTCTAATTCTTTGAGCAGACATGTCCTTTTTTTTGGCATGTTTGCCCGTTTTGGCAGGTTGAGTGATTTGGGTCAGTGGCACACCCTTTTACCGTGCCCATTGACTTCCTGCTTGATTGGACGTTGCAGTTAGGGGTTATGGATTTACTTGGAAGCTGAAAACATAAATTAGAGCGAGATTAGCCTAGGGTATGTGTTTTCTTATAGTTGCTGTTCTTTCTCTCCAGCACCATCTCCATCAGATACATGACGCTTGGGAGTGTTTTACTGTTTTTGGTCGATATGATTCTGTAATTAGGCCCGTCATAATTGTCAGCACCAGGCCCACTGGGCTCTTAATCTGGCCCTGCTTGTCACCCCCCTCTTACGGTCACCTCACCATCACCCCCTCACTCTGTCATCCTCCTCACACTATGTCACCCACCCTCACTGTCACTCACCCTTACTGTGTCACCCATACTCTCACATTACGTCACCCCTCTCTTACTCTCTCATTCCCCCCTCACCTCATCACCCTCCCTCTCACACTATGTCACCCTCCCCACACGGCCACCACTCTCCGCACTCTGGCACCTCCCTCCATGCACAACGTCAACCCTCAACACGCAGGCACCCTCCTGCTCTTTTACACTCACCCTGCCACAGTTACCCCTTTACTCACCCTGTCACGCCCCCAAAGGCAATCATTATACACACCGTCATAAAACATAGCTTCGCTATAAACTCAGTGCCAAAGGCCAGTCAGTACACAAACATACACATGCTCAGAGAAACATACATACAGATACAAGGATACTCACTGTCAGATACACACACTCAGGTAGACAATGCAATGATGTAAACAGAGACTAGCTCTGTGTATCCAGTGCTGCAAGCTCCACCAGGGACGTTTTAGCCACGAGGCAAACAAGGCATTTGCCCTGGGCATTTGGGGGCGGCTTTTTTTGCCGTCCCCAAATGCCCAGGGCAAATGCCTTGTTAGCCTTGTGGCTAACTGACATGCTGGGCTGGCGGGCGGCATGGCGAGGGAGCACTTCCTCTGAGCTGTCTGCTCAGCTCCCTCGCGCGCCACAGAGTGAGGCTGGTAGCCTGAACATGACATCATATTCCGGCTCCCAGCCTCACAATGCAGCGCGTGAGGGAGCTAAGCAGACAACTCAGAGGAAGTGCTCCAGCAGCCCGACCGGCAGCCCCACTAGTCCCCAGAGAGATAGAGAACCCCCCCAGCATTAGCAAAGGTAAGGAGGCTGGGGGTGTAAATTAAAAAAAAAATTTGAGTGTGTCTGTTAGAGAGTGTGAGTGTGTCTGTTAGTGTGTGTGTGTGTCTGACTGTGTCTGTTAGTGAGTGTGTCTGTTAGTGAGTGTGTCAGTTTCTGTTAGCTAATGTATGCATATCTGTCAGTGAATGTGTGTGTATTTAGGAGGGGGGTGCCTGAGTTTTGTCCTGCCTAGGTCAGCACAAAACCAGGATACACCACTGAGCTCCACCATCAATATATCTACAGCTTCTTATACACAAAGTCAACTGCTATTTTTTCTTCAATAATGGTGTTCTCCGTGGGGTCTCATGTATGAGTTTCGCCTAAGGCCTCGCCAAGTCTAGAGCCGACACTGCAGTACAGCCCTTCAGTATCCAATAGTCTCTTATGCAGGGACTCCTCAAAGCGGTTTGCTCCTTCCCTCTGGAACTGTAAAAATAAAAAAAAAATATTTACAACCCACCAAATCGTAACCAGAAAGCATATTACTTATTTTATATTATTAGAAATGACAATTTCAATGTTGAAGATTGGAGGCGTAGAATAGAAAGAATGATCGAGCGCTTTCAATTTTAATTAAAAGCATGTCTGTGCTTACAGTGTAAGCAGTGTTTAGGTGATAGGGTCAGAGTGTAAGCAGTGTTTAGGAGATACAGTCACAGGGTAAGCAGTGTTTAGGAGATACGGTCACAGGGTAAGCAGTGTTTAGGAGATACGGTCACAGGGTAAGCAGTGTTTAGGAGATACGGTCACAGGGTAAGCAGTGTTTAGGAGATACGGTCACAGGGTAAGCAGTGTTTAGGAGATACGGTCACAGTGTAAGCAGTGTGTAGGTGATACAGGTGTTTCATTCTCCACAATCACAGTACTTTTGGTTACCTTATAAGTATTACAGTGACTCCCATTGGTTGAATTGGCACATGAATACACATGTGAGCAGTAACGCCACGTCAAGGCTTCAACCCTTGTTACTGACCATTCACACACACCATACTTTGCATTCATCCGCATTCGGTATTCCAGATGTTTTGCACTACATCTCCCATAATGGTTTGCCAGCATTATGGGAGATGTAATTCACAGCATCTGGACTGCCCAAGGTTACCTACCTCTGAACTATGCCGTGATCACAGTACACAATGTTGAAGTTGCTGTGCAAACAGGAGCAGCTTGTCAGGTGTCAGATGCCACTTCATTAGTTATAAATTCAATACTCCACCCTGGAGACGAGCATCAAACATGGGCTTCTTCATTCCTCTTCATGTACTTCGTATCCCATAGGAGAACATGCTTGTCAGAGCTGTGACACACACAAAAAGAAATAAACTGGTTAGAGTAACTGGCATAACAGACACAGTGCATGCAGACTTGCGTGCCACATACATACAACAGACAGACACAAAGATTGTGGGAGACACACCGGATTAAATATAAGAATTGGGAGTACCATACATACACAATGCACAAAGAGACGGAGATTACTGAATTCGGTGACCGACAGATTTGGTTGCAGATGTGGGGCTGTCCCTCTCGCTGGGGTGCAGTTTCTCATCCTTCTCTGGCGAGTGACTAGATGGCTGCGGTTTCATAGCAAAAAGCATGCTTTGGCATATGATATCTAGGAAATAAATATTTTTCTGTGAAACTAGGGTTGTACACATCTAACACACAGGCCACACGTACTGTACAGCTCACCATCTAACGCACAGCCCCCAAATATAATACACTGCCCCCATACAGCGCACACCCATATATAGCGCAGACCCCCATATATAGCGCAGACCCCCATACAGCGCACACCCCCATACAGCGCAAACCCCCATATATAGTGCAGACCCCCCCATACAGCGCAGACCCCCATATATAGTGCAGACCCCCCCTATAGAGCGCAGACCCCCCTATATAGCGCAGACCCCAGTGATTAAGACTCGTGGACCGTCCAGGGAAAGAGACCATTATATTATTAAGATACTACCTTCCTAATGCCATACAGCCTTTCTTTACATGTGATTGAACTTTCTCCTTCTTGGATACCACAGTGTGACTTTTCTTAACCAGTTTCCAAATTTGACTTTTATATTTTTTACATCCTCTAAATATAAAGTCTAAAATGCATATTAACTTTAACTCCCCAATATAATGCACTGAAACCCCCCTAATATAGAACCCCCTCCCCTCGGATGGCTGAGAGTGTTGGGAGCAGGGAGAGACTGACCTGTTCCCAGAAAATGCTTTACTCAGACGATCAGAGTCCGCGCATGCGCAGTATAGGGGTAGGGAGATTTCACAGGGCTTAATGGCCATCAGATTTCCCTACCCCTATACTGCGCATGCGCAGTGTGTGAAGCGCTCCCTGTCCCCAAGTGCGCACGCGCGCTGTACCTCCGACGGGAGTACTTTGGCGCGCGTGCGCACTATGCCTTTTGTCGACTACTCGCTGTGCAAAGTCCCTACCTGGGTGGTGTGCGCCTGCGCGGTGGCGCACCCCCCCCGTCCCAACGTCACTTCCACGCCGGCGATCGCGGTTGGGGGGATTCCCAGGGAGCCCCCCACGGCCATGTGAGAGTTAGGTCCTTGCGAGGATCTCATAATCACATGGCCGGGATAGCTGCCTCCTGCATTGCCAGCAGGGGGGCTGCCTGTAATGACAGTTGGTCCCCCTGCTGGCTGGAAATAAAATAAAAAAAATGTAAAAAAGTTAAAAAGTGTAAAAAAAAAAAATATATATATATACTTAGATTGAAGTTGCCGTTTAGTGGATAGGTGAGTGCGCTGGATCTTGTGTTTTGTATTATTTTGCCCCCAGCAGCACCTCCATTTATGCATGTTCAGGTGAGTGCAGCCAACCCCCCCTTGTTTCATATTTATATATTTGGGAGTCTAGCCAACTCCTTGGTTTTGCACCCCTCCCTGTCACAGGTGCCTCATCCCAGGGCCCTATTTAGCCTTGTACTGCAGAGAGCCCCAGATGGAATTTTTTCCTCAAGTAAGTGGTTAATCTCATAAGAGCAGACATTAGGCTGTTAGTGTAGGA